CATCTTATTATTGGTTTTTTTATCCAACACTCTGGCTCTTCATTATTATTATTATTATTTTATTACTAGTTTTATTCCATCTTATTATTGTTGTTTTTTTATCCCAACACTCTGGCTCTATACACTCTTCATTATTACTATTATTTTATTACTAGTTTTATTCCATCTTATTATTGTTGTTTTTTTATCCCAACACTCTGGCTCTATACACTCTTCATTATTACTATTATTTTATTACTAGTTTTATTCCATCTTATTATTGTTTTTTTTTTTACTCTGGCTCTTCATTATTACTATTATTTTAAGTTTTATTCCATCTTATTATTGTTGTTTTTATCCCAACACTCTGGCTCTATACACTCTTCATTATTACTATTATTTTATTACTAGTTTTATTCCATCTTATTATTGTTGCTTTTTTATCCCAACACTCTGGCTCTATACACTCTTCATTATTATTACTATTATTTTATTACTAGTTTTATTCCATCTTATTATTGTTGCTTTTTTTATCCCAACACTCTGGCTCTATACACTCTTCATTATTACTATTATTTTATTACTAGTTTTATTCCATCTTATTATTGTTGCTTTTTTTTTTTATCCCAACACTCTGGCTCTATACACTCTTCATTATTACTATTATTTTATTGCTAGTTTTATTCCATCTTATTATTGTTATTTTTTTTTTATCCCAACACTCTGGCTCTATACACTCTTCATTATTACTATTATTTTATTGCTAGTTTTATTCCATCTTATTATTGTTGCTTTTTATCCCAACACTCTGGCTCTATACACTCTTCATTATTACTATTATTTTATTGCTAGTTTTATTCCATCTTATTATTGTTGCTTTTTATCCCAACACTCTGGCTCTATACACTCTTCATTATTACTATTATTTTATTACTAGTTTTATTCCATCTTATTATTATTTGCTTTTTTTTTATCCCTAACACTCTTCATTATTCTATTATTTTATTGTTTTATTCCATCTTATTATTGTTGTTTTTTATCCCATACTCTCTTCTATTACTCTTCATTATTACTATTATTTTATTACTAGTTTTATTCCATCTTATTATTTTATTACTAGTTTTATTCCATCTATTATTTTTTTATCCCAACACTCTGGCTCTATACACTCTTCATTATTACTATTATTTTATTACTGGTTTTATTCCATCTTATTATCGTTGCTTTTTTATCCCAACACTCTGGCTCTATACACTCTTCATTATTACTATTATTTATTACTAGTTTTATTCCATCTTATTATTATTGCTTTTTATCCCAACACTCTGGCTCTATACACTCTTCATTATTACTATTATTTTATTACTAGTTTTATTCCATCTTATTATTGTTGTTTTTTTATCCCAACACTCTGGCTCTATACACTCTTCATTATTACTATTATTTATTACTAGTTTTATTCCATCTTATTATTATTGCTTTTATCCCAACACTCTTTATACACTTTTCATTATTACTATTATTTATTACTAGTTTTATTCAATCTTATTATTGTTGCTTTTTATCCCAACACTCTGGCTCTATACACTCTTCATTATTACTATTATTTTATTACTAGTTTTATTCCATCTTATTATTGTTGTTTTTTGATCCCAACACTCTGGCTCTATACATTCTTCATTATTACTATTATTTTATTACTAGTTTTTATTCCATCTTATTATTGTTGTTTTTTTATCCCAACACTCTGGCTCTATACACTCTTCATTATTACTATTATTTATTACTAGTTTTATTCCATCTTATTATTATTGCTTTTTATCCCAACACTCTGGCTCTATACACTCTTCATTATTACTATTATTTTATTACTAGTTTTATTCCATCTTATTATTGTTGTTTTTGATCCCAACACTCTGGCTCTATACACTCTTCATTATTACTATTATTTTATTACTAGTTTTATTCCATCTTATTATTGTTGTTTTTTTATCCCAACACTCTGGCTCTATACACTCTTCATTATTACTATTACTTTATTACTAGTTTTATTCCATCTTATTATTGTTGCTTTTTATCCCAACACTCTGGCTCTATACACTCTTCATTATTACTATTATTTTATTACTAGTTTTATTCCATCTTATTATTGTTGCTTTTTTATCCCAACACTCTGGCTCTATACACTCTTCATTATTACTATTACTTTATTACTAGTTTTATTCCATCTTATTATTGTTGCTTTTTTATCCCAACACTCTGGCTCTATACACTCTTCATTATTACTATTATTTTATTTTCAAGTTTTGTTTGCTCTCCACAAGAGATTGTGACAAAATCTCTCCAAGATATAACTTCCTCATATCTCATTTCTTACTTTTTACCTCCTCTCCTTTGGTGCTTCCAGAACATCATTCAGTAAACCTCTACCTTGAGTGGCTCTTGGATTTTGTATTGGATGAATATTATTAAAAAACATTCTTGTCTTAGAACAAGAAAAGACACAATTTTTTTAAACCTTTACCTTCACTCTCTGTCCCTTTTCCGACATCTATTTACACAAATCCCTCACCGTGTAAACGTTCCCTTGTTCAGTTCTTCCCTGACATCTTCCCTGCTAGTGGAAAGTAACACTTCACGCTTTCTCAGGCTAACATTTGGTGCTGACATGAGGTGAAAGATTATACTGACTCAAATGCTAGAAAATTTGGCTCACTGTTACACATGCTAGAATTTTTTTTCTTGCCAGAGTCTATCTTACGCACATCAGATAACATACCTGGCTTGCCGTTTACCATCCATCAATGTATTGAAAATACAGCCGTTATATCTGGTCCGATGCTTCTGTTATAGATTCTTGATAAAATCCGAAGCAGAATCTGCGATGTTATTGTCTCATGGCAACTCGATCGCAATCATTTTCCCACCGGCATAATACAGCTTCTCTGTACCTTTTCTATAAATATTTACATGATAATTGTTCTGATGAGCTTTCCTGTTTGGTATCTTGACTTTACGAATTTAGATTTCAGTACTAGATTGGCTGCTAGGTCTCATTGTTTTACAATTAAAATTGCTAGATATAACCATAGGTTCTATGCTACCAATTTCTTCTCTTGCACCTGGGGAATTCTTCTTCCGTCTTCTTGCTTTCCAGTCAACTTTCATCTTCAAGAATTTAAATGCAATGCCAATCATTAACTACTGTCTTCTTAATTCGAGTTCTTTTATTGTTGTCTCTCCTTAATTGAGTTTTTCTTTTTCTCAGTCTATCACCATTTACACCCAGATCTCATGATCAAAAAGTGAATATTCTTCTCACAAGGCCACATGCCCATATAAAGAAGTATACCTCTGTGCAAAATAATTGAAACAACCACTTTAATTTCCTTTCTTTCACTATTTGGTCAGTGTCAGACCAGCTGAAGTGATAGGGTGTAATCGATTACTATTTTTTCCTCAGATGAGGTCATTTGCAGTGGTGCGCAGTAATATCAATCTATTTTCGGGGCGCATGATTGTCGAACAATCACGTGGTCAAGATAAACACTCAGTTGTGGAGCAAGCTGAGTGAATACTAATTCAACATTGAGAAAGAGAGCTATTTATGGTGCAATGGAGCATCTCATTATGCTAAAGTGGGATAGTCCATTGCTTGGGCTGTGATTGGCTGCTGGTACCTGAGTGGAAGTATTTCTATATAAATACCAGCTTGATTCCTCAGTTAGTTTGCGAGGTTTGTATTAAGTTACAACCTGCTTTATTTTTGTCTGCCAGCTGGACGCTAGCTGGGACTCTTACGCCGGTAAGTGTTGTTTATTGTATTGTTATTCTACAATGATGAAATTTGTTTGACCTTGAAAAATATTGCATTATCCGTGATTGCATCAGATTTTTATCACGCCCAGACACTATTGTCTCGACTGTCGATTAGTTGTCTTGCAGCCATTGTCTGCGATGGACTCCAAGGAAGCATATGAAAATTGTAACACTGCACAAATACACTGACCAGCTTTACCTGTGAACAAATCAAAGTGCTATAGATTGGCCCAGAAACTCCCAGATTTAAATCCAATCGAAAATCTGTAATCAATCTGCAAGGAACGATTTCGTAGAATGGACATACGAAGTACTAAGATGTGCACCGAGTCATGTTTCATTGGAAAAATATGAAAAAAATAAATAACGGAATTATTCGTTTTGTTTCAATTAATTTGCAGAAGTGTGTAAATGAACAAAGTGTACAAAGAAATTAAGTGTATAAAAATGTCATAAAGAATTATCTTGCTTATAAAGTAATGACGTTATTGTTCCAATATTTTTGTTCTTTTTTTAGTTGCATTGAAGAGAAACAGAAATAAACTGATTACTCAACTCTCCCCTAATAAAGTGAATAGTTTGGTTTCGTTTCTTGTATTTTACGGCATATCAACCTTAATGGGTTATTTAATGCTGACAGCTTTTTTCTTGATAATATTCTGTTTTGTCAAGAACCTATTTCCGGTAATATTTTTTTCTCAAAATGTATAGCTTGTAATATTATTTTAAAAAATGTATTGCTGGTAATAATCCTTATATAGCAGTCAATGCTTGACAATTTCCTCATGCAAAGAAAAATTGGAACAACGGAAATATGGTTCTACAGAAGAATGCTGAGAATGCCATGGATGGAACATATAAGTAATGAGAAAGTTTAAAAAAAAACGTGAACAAAAAAAAAATATATTTTTGCTTAGCATCATAAAGAGACAATTGAAATTTCTGGGAAACATGATGAGAAAAGGGAACTTGGAGAATCTGACACTCACAGGACATGTTGAAAGAAAGAGGCAGTAAGTCATAAATAGGGAGGGATAATAAGGAGTAAAACATTGTTTAGTGCTACAAGGAAGAGGAAGTCGTGGAGAGTAATGATCGCCCAAGGCCTGAAGCAAACACTATAAATAAGTGAAGGCAACAAGAACTTGAAGAAAAAGAAATCTCGTTTTTTTATTTTTGATGCAAGCAAAACAGATTAAATTTTAGGTTTCTCCTGCTGGTTTCATATTCAAAACTGTCTTTCCTCGATTGTGAGTCTCACCGACATGATTGTAAGCCGCTGGTGCTTCTTCAAATGGGACCACTTTTTCAATAACTGGTTTAATCTAAAAAAAAAAAATAAAGTGAAATGAAATAAAAAGAAAAAAACTGCCAAAATGATGATAAACAACATCTAACAACTTGTTTATAAACAGTGAGTGAAAATACTTGAAAAGAGAGGGATTGTCAGGAATTACTCACAGTCTGAACAACCCCTACCCTTGGCTGAGCAATGAAATCATAAATTTGGACACAAGAAAAAAATTAAAAAAAATGTTAATTTTCTTTTTTTTTTTTTTTGTAACCTTGAAAAGCACAAGGGAAAATAGAAAAATCAGGCATAGCTGGAGAGAAAAAGGAGATTACCACCCTTTGTTGGATGAGGTTGAAATAATAGACAGAGAACATCATTGGAAAATATGAAAACTTAAGGAATCAGCATATATGCTAGGCCACAAAAATCTCCTGAGCCAACCAAGCATAGAAATGAATACAATATGGGAACCAGTAATCATACTAGTTGTAAAACCCAGGTTGTGTGTGTGTGTTTATATATTGGATCGGATTTCCTACATTTTTCAACCGATTTCAACAAAACTTCACAGGACTACATAAAATTACCTTGCGGTGGTTCTGACAGCGCCAACAATTGGAAAACACAATTGTTTTTGCACAAAATCAATTTGAAAACATGATTAAGAGGCATTGTTCTTGCGAGAATGAAAGGGGGACAACTCATATCGAGTTATACTTATAAAACCCAGGTTGTGTGTGTGTGTGTGTCTGTTTATATATGGGATCGGATTTCCTACATTTTTCAACTGATTTCAACAAAACTTCACTCAGGTAGTGTTTCTTATTGTCTTGCACACTTTTTTCTTTATTTTTACATTCAGAATGCTTTAAAAATTCCATTTACAAGACAATTGTTTATAATAAAATTATATTCAATCGATAGACTCATAATTATTGAAAACAATGTTTTTGTTTGAGTTTAACCAATTCTTAAAAAAAAAAAAAAAAAAAAAAAAAAAAAAAACTAATTAAGACATGCGTGTCCATCAACCTTAAACAATAACCTTTGTCAATTTTATTTTTCAGTCTTTATGATGGTCGATACTTGATCTATCTCTTACTATTACATCCCCGGGCAACGCTGGGCTCTACTGCTAGTAATAAATATAAGTTCTGGTAAAAAAATGCAATAATAATAACAGAAAAATTGCAATAACTGGTAAAAAATGATTGCTGAGACATTAAGTTTATAAGTCCAAAAAATTGATACACAGATGTCCTCAAGGATACATAGTCTACTGGATAAAAACATTGGTTAAATCCAGTGACAGTGAGTTCAATACCAGGCCATAGCAGTGGTGAATCACAATTTGGAGAGTTGAGTCAAAAGGAAAAAATTGAGACATCTGAAGTGGCATGGCATGTGGAATTAGAACATAAAGGGTTCGGTTCAAAATTTCAATCACATGAAGAAGGCCAGAGCATACAATGGCCGAAATGTTGTAAATATGGCAATGAAGATCAGGATAACAATCCAAATAATGTAAGTAAAAATATATTAATTGAAATATTCAGTAATAGAATTATTTTAAAAACTTCTTTTTTTTTTTAAATTGCATATAAATATTTTTAGATGTGTCAGTGAATTAAGATGTACACATGAAAACATACATACACATTTCAATGAAACTGAAATGGGTATCTGCATTGTGAAGGTTAATTTCTCTGTCTGGCAGCAAACCCTGGTTAACAGGAAAATTTTAATATCAACTCATTTATAAATATAGTGTCAAAGTACTTAAAAATGTTTCACTGCCATGAAAATCAGAAAAGTAGGTTGATTGATATTTTTTTTATTTTTACAGGTTATTTAAAGTTGGAAAATATTTTTAGCTTGTAGGAGTAGATAGGCTTGACTATCATCTAGTTCATACTCCTATCTGGTCTTTTGAACAGGAGTAGAGGTTTATCCCTTGTTCACTGTTTAGGATTGGGTTTCTGCATCCTTCTAGAATCTATTCTAAATCTATTCTTCAAATGTTTCCCTTGACATTATTCACTAAATAAATTTTGACCTCTTCAAGTTTAGAATTAGCTGTTACCTTTCCTGCCTATCTCTAAAAACTTCATTTCTTGCCCTTTCTTGTGCTTATACAACTTCACACAGTAACACTCTACCTTGAGTGGCACTCGGTTTAGTTTGGTTTGTTTTATGGCATATTTAATGCCAACAAAATTTTTATTGCTCATAATTTTTTTTTTCAAAAATGTGTTGCTAGTAATATATTTTCCTTCGAAAAAATCTATTTCTGGCAATATTTTTTTTCAAAAATGTATAGCTAGTAATATTTTTTTTTTTCAAAAGTGTATTGCTGGTAATAATTTTTTTCCTAAAAAATTTATTGCTAGCAATAATTTTTTTACAAGGTATTTCTGGTATTAAAACCTATTTTAACACTTTCATAGATTTGATTCCAGTTTGGGGGTCAACTATTTGCCCATAGCTGGGACCCTTACAGGTGCTTGCACCCCAGGTCAGGGTGGACCTGGGAACACCAGCAATTAAGAGGTGGTTCCACGCTCCTCAAAACCTCCTGATCAAAGGCCTTGCTGTTGGACATAGTTTATCATCTTACCCAGGACGCAGATGTAATTTATTGTTATACCCAAGATGTGAGTAATTCTCGGGAATTGTATTGGATGAACATTAGTAAAAAAGATTTTTTTTTGAGATAATGGTTTAGTGATACAGGTCTTGCTAATTAACCCATAGTTGGGAGGAGAAGAGGTAGAATTATAACTTTACCAAGGCTATTTGCACGTAAGTGAATATGAAAAAGCCAACAGGAATTGTAAATCAGCTGCACAATTCAAAATCCCAAGCCATTATCCATTACACAACCTGCACATCCAAGTTTACAGCACCTGGTATTCCCAAGTGGTCACCCATCTAAGTACTGACCAGGCTCAACGTTGCTTAACTATGATTTCTCATTCGGAGCTGTTATCCATTACACTAGCTGCACATCCAAGCTTACAGCACCTGGTATTCCCAAGCGGTCACCCATCTAGGTACTGACCAGGCTCAATGTTGCTTAAAATCAATTTCTCATTCTGAGCCGTTATCCATTACACCACCCGCACATCCAAGTTTACAGCACCTGGTATTCTCAAGCGGTCACCCATCTAGGCACTGACCAGGCTCGACACTGTTTCAAACAAAGAAAGGGATTGTAATTAACAAAGTGAATTGAGCTACTGTTTGTATCAGGTATGACAGCCATTCCAGACATGATGCTAATAAAGTACAGTTACATTTTATTCAATTACTAGCTTAAAAGCCACCTTTAAGCTGGCTAACACAGAGAGGCCTCCAGTCTATGACTAAAAGGACTTCTGGTCCACCTTAGAAAACTGCAATGATAATTTTCAAGAAATAACTTTCAATTCCTCAATTCCCACCGTAGAACTTCAAAACCTCAGTTTAAATCTGATTCGAGCCATAAGTCCAATTCTGGCCAAAATAACAATTTGGGCCAAAATTCCGATTTGAGCTAAAATTCCAATTCAGACCAAAAACTGAGTTCTTCAAATCAAAAGCTTTGTGGAATTTTAATTTTAGTTAAGTTCTTCAAGTCACAAACTCTGCAGAATTTCAAAACCTTATGCTATGAAACCACTTTCTTTAATTCTGATTTCTTGGCATTTTAAAGAAATAAAATTGATTTCATCAATTCACAAAGTTTGGGAGATATTTCAAACTGAACTTAAAACAAAACTTTTTAAATTTACAAAGATTTTGTGTTACTTTAAACTCAATATAAATTTAAAACTTTTAAAATCACTAATTTTTTTCAGTTATTTTAAAATTTGAATTTTTAACTGTTCCCTCCTCATTCAGACACAAATTCCAATACTGGATGTTCAAGCACCAAATTAAGGGCAGATTTTTAATCCTGAGATCATCCTGATTCCAAAAAGCTATAATATACTGAAGTACAACAAATGTGTCCCTAGTTAGAGAGGTTTCAGGCACACAAATGGACAGACAGAATTTGCCATTTATTTAGATATATTTTCCGATTATTTGCAATGATATGTTGCATATTTTCAGGCAACTTTTCAAAATTACACTGGATTTGGCCTGCAAAAGTTTTCTAGGAATGAAAAATGTAGTAAATAGTTGGGGCAGTGTCAAGAGAATATAGTGGATTGGGTAGAACGCACTAATCGAGTTCCAAAATTTTTCCAAGTTTTATTCTTGCTGTGTGCAGCCTTGTCTTGTCAGGAAAACAGTGTTTTTCCTTTAACCTTTACCACACCAAGGGCAACAATAGTCGCCGTAGAATTCTCTCCCTTTGCTACTCTAGGTGCATTCTGTCATCTTGAGAAGGTTGCTATAAATAAACACTTGTCAACTTTTATTTCTAGTATTTAAAACTAGAAATCGCCTACTACTGCTTTGGAAGAAGGTTAAACTTCCATTTTCCAATGCCATTTTGAATTCTTCTAGACTCTACATGAGAAGTAACATTGATTAAACCCACGTTAATTTTTTCACAAATTTTTGTAAACAAAAATGGCCACGTCAATATCCAATAAAGCCTTTATTCAAATTCAAGAGTTGTTCTTTGATTAACACTCCAATGATGATTTTGAAGGCTTTACTCAAGTGGATATTGACAGTGAAATGGTCGGAGATGATAATCATGCTAGTGATGTGGAGGAAAGTGATGATGACCATCATCCATGCCTGAGTAATTTTATGGAAGCTACCGGCAACTATTGATATATCTGATGGTCTTTCTGAAGGTGAATTACTTTGTCTATTTATAAACAACGAAATAATAACTTTATTCGTCAACAAGACAAATAAATATGAGGTGAAAGAAAGAGCCAACAAAATGCTAGTGTCTTCTCATGTGTAAACACGAGGAGACATGTCACTTTTTTGAGAAAATAAAAGCCTTTTTAGCAATTTTGCTTCTTATTGCACACCTAGTCCTCAGTAAGGAGTAATAAAAGTTAAAGTACATTGAATTATTCATGTATTTTTTAATGTATTCGTTTTTTATTCCCCATTTTTATTTCATGTTTCAATTTTTTTGTTTTCAACGTCAAAACATGCATGCATAATGTAATGCATTACATCAAAATGTTACTCATTCATTCTTCTATTAGATCTATATGCACAATACAAAGAAAGTTATAACAATTTTAAAACAGCAAGTGTTCATGTTTTTGCACCCTCAAGAAAATGCAGTAGCAGGGGAGACAACTCTAGAAAGAAATTAGTGTGGTAAAGGCTAATCCGCCGTTTATGCTGCTACTATGATCCAAATACTAACATACATTAGTGTACTCCAAATTTATTCTTAACTGCTACGTATGATTAGTAGTTAGGATGGTCAATTCATCATTTTATTCCACTTACACATTATGCGCCACTCTGGTCACTAGCCTCCTCCATCTCAGAATTGTGGTTCATGGTGACATTCAAGGCAGGTCCCACCCGTTTACTGTTGAAATAGCTAAATGCAACAGCCACTTCTGCTCTAACAGTTTCTTTTCTCACACTTCCCACTTGTGGAACTCCTTTCTGTTTTCTTGCTTCGTTGATAACTACAATCTTCCAAAGTTTAAATGCAACATCAATCGTCATCTTGTCTTCTTGAACCCAGTTCATCATTTGGCCGTTCCTCAATTCTCCCTATTCTCAGTTTTCCCTTTTACTTCCTGGAACCCCCAGCATACTAGTGGTATTACTGCCTTGCTTAGAGTAAAAATGATTAAAAAAAAAAAAAAAAAAATAATGTAATGGCATGCCACTTCCTTTTGCACTAATGTTGACTTTACCGTATTCCTCCTCTCAGAGGTGGATGTGTTTTTGAAATTAACTTCTTCTGGCCTTTGCCTCAAGAGGCAAGACCTTCAAGGCTACAGGTGGTTTGACTTCAAAGTTTTCTTCTCCTAGACTGGTTGCCACTGAAGGCTATAGGATATAGTCTGCCCTGCTATTTTACTCATAGTTGGGTTTGGTTTGGTTTGTTTTTATGGCATATCAACCTCAATGGGGTATTTAATGCCGACAAAATTTTTATTGCTGGTGATCCTTTTTTTCCAAAAAAATATATTGCTGGTAATATCTTTTTTGAAAAATATATTGCTGGTAATATTTTTTTTCAAAAATATATTGCTGATAATATTTTTTTTATAAAGTATTTCTGGTATTAAAACCTATTTTTACACTTTCATAGTATTTTAACCCAAGTTTGGGAGGTTAACTATTTGCTCATAGCTGGGACCCTAACGGGTGCTACCACTCCAGGTCAGGGCGGACCTGGGAACACCAGCAATTAAGAGGTGGTTCCACGCTCGTAAAAACCTCCTGATCAGAGGCCTTGCTGTTGGATGTAGTTTATCATCATACCCAGGATGCAGATGTAGTCTCAGTTTTGGGGTTAACTATTTGCCCATAGCTGGGACCCTAACGGGTGCTACCGCCCCAGGTCAGGGTGGACATGGGAACACCAGCAATTAAGAGGTTGTTCCATGTTGCTCAAAGACTCCTGAACAGAGGCCTTGCTGTTGGACGTAGTTTATCGTCTTACCCAGGACACGGATGTAGTTTATCGTCATACCCAGGACAGACCCATAGTTGGGGTAGAAGAGATGGATTCATACCTTTCCCAAGGGTATTAGCACATAAGTGAACGTAATGAACTCAATTGGAATTCAAACTAAGCTCTCCAATTCCTCAATCCAAGCCACTAACCATGATTCCTGTTAGGATGATACATTCGTCATTACAATTGGTTCCAAAAAGTGGAAATTATGACTCAACCTAATATGTTATGCTGGCATACAGGATCAGAGAGTAGATGTTGGTGCCATGGTAGCAGAGAACGAAACGTCCAACATATTTTACTTTGTCATAAATAGGCAGCCAAGCAAATGGTTTCAGACACGAATGAGCATATGAAACAAAAGCAATATCTGAATTTCCAGCATGCAGAAAAATTGCCTCCATTATCTTTTATCCATCCTTGCAGAACATTTATGGAGACCAAACAGTGGATGCGAGCACTGTTCGACAATGGCAATAGAGATGTGAGTGAAAAGCCATGTTCTGCAGATTTAGAGGAATGCATCATGCTCACAATTGGTAATCACTGCTAAAAAATGCATAGTCAATAGTGGTGGTTGCAAAATTGTGGTTTGTAGTTGAAAACATAGTATTACTGGCCCCTTTGTATTATTATAGTTCCACCAGAAATATACAAGCATATTAAATTCATAGTGTCCATTCTAATTATACCAGGGACATGCCAACAAGGTAAGCAGTGAATAAAAATAAATCAGCAGCTACATTTTCCTTCTGTGCCACAATATGCTCCTAACAAAATTATGCAGGCTGCTCTGATTATTATACATAAAATGCAAACCGTTTTATTTTTTTGTAGATTTACTACATAACAGTCACAAGCAGCCTACCCTGAGTAAGTGATGATGGCACATGCCTTAATTATACTTGCTAATGACTTTTTTCTATAGAAAGCATTTAAAATGATTTTACAGTTGACATGTCGTAAAATCAATCAACCTGGCCAACCATGTTGTCAAAAATCAAACCATAGCAATTTTTCTCCACTTCATGAAAAAGAACTTTGCTCATCTTACCTTTCCAGCTTCAACCAATTCCTTCACAGTGTTCAAGGCTCGAGGATTAGGAATAAAGAAAGCCCATCGATAATTTCGTCCATCTTTTAAACCCTGAAAGACAGAAAAAAAAAAAAAATTACTTAAAATTGGAATAACAATTTGTCATAAAATCATGTCACATCATAAACAATTATATCAATGAGGAACCACAACCTCTGCTTCTATAGCCAATGATCGCACATTGCAAATCATGGGGAAAAAAACTCTTTCACTAACTCCAACTACATTATATTTACATGTTGCTTCGTCACTTCTTTTTTCTTGCTAATGGTAATTAGAAGACCATGCAATGAGGAAAGAGGGCCTAGAAAATTTGGTGCTCCAGTTATATATTTCAAGATTTTCTACAAAATCCGAAGAAAGATTTGCAATGTTCTGACCTAGCATCCCAATATCAGTCAGTTTACCATAGCTGTCACATAGCTTCCTCGAAAACAGACATGAAAATATTTATAAAAAAGGCAGATCTTTTCTATAAATATTTTCATGGCAGTTTTAAGCTTTTATTTTAGTTTTAATTTCAAGCTAATCGATTAAATTTAACATTTCCAATAACAAAATATTTGCTTTATTTCAAAAATTTATTTAAATTGACGGGAAGAATTTTTTTCTTTTTCTTTTGTTAAAATAGCTGATTAGCACCATTTTTTACAACAAATTCAAATTTCTTTTAAAAATATTTGTGCATAATGATTTGTACTAAGCTTTTCAATTTATGATGAGTAAATATAGTTTTTACTTAATAACAATGTCACCTAACTGGCCCAGAAATTCAAAAGAATTAAAACATTATAAATTATTCTAATTAAAATTTTAAAAAAAGAAGAAAACAATTCTTGTAAAAATTCATTATTCATTGAAAAAAATGTTTTCATAAGACAACAGTGTCCATAATATATACTTTTCATAAAAACAATTAAAATCGTTTGCAATTAAATAATGTCTTAGTTTGACAGCATTTTTTTATTTTATGATTCAGAGCAGATTTTCATTAAATGGGTAACTGTTTGAAAAATAAATATTGATGGTTTACATTCTCCAAGTAGTCCTGCTTTTAGCTAATATAAATATGAAATGAAACAAAATTTAATTTTTTGAAATTTCATTAAGTGGGGGCAACAGATATAAAAAAAAAATAATATTTCTACCAAAATTTTCTAAAAAAATTTCTAAAATAATTTAATTCATTTGTGAATAAGTCCTAAAAGTTTTATTAAAATCTGACAATTATTTGATTTTTGCAAGAATTTCAAAATCAACATGTTTCTTAATGGAAAAAAGGTACTAAATTTCTTAATACTAATCTTTGACCCACCTGCTAATGCAAAAAACCAAAATTTCGAATTTTTTTTAGAAAGGATTAAAAAATTTAACAAAATAATCAAATATACTTTTGTTTTTCCTCTTAATAATAACAAACATTTTGATGATAAAACTTTGATTTTTTTCAAGTTTGGGGCCTTTTTCATCATGCTATGTTCTTTCTTCAGCAAATTCCACATACCTAATTTAAGCTGAATATATTTCTTAATAAATGTTGTCTTTTAAAATTGCAAAACAATTTAGATCTGAAACCTGGTCATTTTGCTGCCAGCAAAGTGACAAGGACTAAACTAGTAATCATAATACAAACACTGTAAATACAAAGTGACTTAGAATGGTGCCGTCCGTTAAACAGACTGCGTATAAGGAAGTCGGCTTACATGTAAAAGATTACATCCAAGTTTTGAAGCTGAGAGGACGGCACCTGCTGGAAATCCATGATCATCAATATCCTTCAAGAAAGGCGTCTTTATGGTGACATATTTTGCATTAGACCACTTCTTCAATGAATCCATACAGTCTTCAGCTTCCATTGTATTCAAGAATACATCAAATCTGCAAAGAAATAAAACAATATCTGTCTATATTTCTGAGATGAGGTATTATGTACATTATTTACATTATTCAGACTATTGTCCTTATCTTTGTTACCATATATATTACAACGTTTCGGCCATTATACACTCCGCCTTCTTCAGGTGGTTGGAATGTTAAACTGCACCCTTTATTTCGCTCACTGGGGTAGACTGTTCTAGTTCCACATGCCATGCTTAATGGATGTCAGTTATCAGTTATCTCCTGTTAGTTTCCCTCTGAACGTTCTCCACTGCCTTAACCAGGTATTGAACTCGCACTCTTTGGGTCCTGTCATTGGATCTAACCAACGCCTTTATCCACTGTGCCATGTGTCCTTGAGGAATAGTCTGAATAATGTAAATAATGGAGATAAAACAACTCCAACATAAAATCATTTTCTTTTACTGTTATGGGAACTTACCTATAATGATAATGGACTCTTCCTGACTCTATAAATACTGCACTTTTCAAGAGGTATAATGAATGAATGGTGTAATGAGTCGAGACAATATTAGTTCACTCTAAACCAGACGGACAATCATTACTAACACCTTCAACTTCTTGTACTATATTTCTGTTGTAATATATCTTTGTTATTCTACTCTTGTGTTTGTGTTGTTCTTCCTTGGTACTAACCCTGGACCATAACTGTGGTGCGAGGATATTGGATCATAACATTTACAATATGGAATCATTGGGTTGTATTTCTTAGTATTGAAAAAAAAAACAATGATTTAAGGATGTGCCGTATCACTTGTTCTAATGACTTACTTTCACTGTGTAACTTGGAGCAAGGAACGCAAGGATTGACAGAGATAAAACAGAGATACATGGTGAAATAATAATAGATTTATTTGGTCACCATGTTAGATTCAATTCCCCCTCTTCACAGGCAGACAACTTCACCCTTTTCTGTGAGAGTTATTTCCCTTTTGTCCCTAACACCTCCCCTTTTTAGTGTGATGGTAAGTTTTGTGTTGGGGTTTTACTTGTAGTCGTTTGCTGGAATGTCGGACTCTAACTGATTTTCTGGTTTTCATCCTTCAAAGTCTAGGTCTGTGTTCCCCCAACTTCTGCTGTTTTGTGTGGATGCTGTAACATTTCCCCATGGCAGATCAAAAGTGTCCAACAAAATGTTGAGTGGAAGATCTGACCTTTGGTTTGTGGATATTGCAAGTTTAGAAAAGTGTAGCTGGTTTGTATGCCATACACAAATAAAAGATGGCATGTTGACATCGTAAGTGATGTTTCCAGTTTGGTGGAAGATGTAACACTGTATCCACTTCTCTGTGCCATTTCAGTAGTCTTTGCTAAGACCTGTTGGTTCAGTTTGAAAGTATGACTTATTACACTATGATAGCGGTTGAATTGTTCTATTGCCACGTTTCTCTTGTGAGAATTTTGTGTACATGGACATATAACCAAAATTTGCAGTTCATCAGAGGCTCGGTGAGCTACCATTTGGGGTGTTTATATTTGGTGTGGTTCTGTAACTTGTTAGGAATGTCTCCAAATATTTTGGTTATTGTACCTCCCCCCTTTTAACTTTTGAAGTGCCTTCTTAAAGGGTTGATACCATTCTGCTAGCAGAAATCTGAAAATTTTGCAGAACTGAAAGCAGAGACTAAAGTCTCTGTAACTCTGAATCTGTTGTTCAAAGACGATGCGACTAATCAAAACAAATTTCAGACCATTTACTGTAGACAGATGACATTTTCTATCAATAGGTCAGGCAAAATCAATATGAAGATATGAACAAGCAGAATCTGGGAAAGGCCAAGAAAAGAGTCCCAATTTCCTGGGGGATTTTGCTGCTAAATGACATTTCATACAGATCTTCTAATTGCTTGTCAATATTTGGCCAATAGACATAGCTAGAGCCAAAGCCTTCAAGCGGCTAATGCCCTGATGACCAAAATGAAATTATTTTAGGACTAAATTTTGTAAAGTCAATGGAACTATCACACAGTCCCCCCAAAAAAATACAACCATACACTATGGACAATGATGATTTTCGATAGTGAAAAGGTTGAAGATTCTGTCTGGACTTGTCGAAGGCCACTTTGTACGCTAGTAGTGAATCACTTTCTGCAACACTGGGTCAGAAGCTGTGGCCTCCTGGATCATCTGCAAGGTGCCAAGCAGCTCTCTTACAGTAGTTGTAAGCACCAAAACAATTTCTGGCCCCACCAATACTGCGGCAACAACGGAGTCTTCAGATGAATTCTAGTGTGCATACATAAGCCTGGATAAAGCAACTGCCTGGTCAATTGAATTTGTTGATTGCTACTTTATGGAAAAGTTACAATCCACTAACATTGTTGACCATCTTTGTAACCAATTTGCAGTATAAACAGGAATACCTTTTTTTGATCCAAAAACATCAATCAGAGTTTTATATATACTGACATCCAATCAATCTGAAATGTTCATTTTGGAGTTTCTAGCATGAATGCCAAGACAGCATGCCGTTTCTAAATTTCTGGCAAAGTGAATTGCATCATGGATCTTTTTTTCTCACATACAATACCCAACTATACTGGCAGTTGGAAAAAACAAAAACAACACACATGCACAAAATTAAAAATATAAAATGGCAATTTACCCATCTCACCATATATATATATATATATATATATATATATATATATATATATATATATATATATTTATTAAAGACATTTTTATGTTTAACGTTGTTATTTATAGATACAAGTATTTAAGCAAATGCTCTGTTTATGATAAACAGTATTAAATAACATTTGCCGGCCTGAATGTCCGAGAAATTTTCATAGAAAATATTCGTTCTTTGACAGGATTCGAACCTGCATCCTATACGGAACCGTCATTTACGCTGACGTGCCTTACCTCTGGGCCACAAAGAACCTTTCGGTAGACAAGGTCGAATTTACTGCTTATAAACTTCAATCTTCCATAAATCTCGTACATTCATAACTGCTCTGGCGTATCAAATGTAAACAAATGACGTCATATATTAAGAAATGGACAAGGTCCGACAATTTATTTATTAAAGACATTTTTATGTTTAACGTTGTTATTTATCATAAACAGAGCATTTGCTTAAATACTTGTATCTATAAATAACAACGTTAAACTTAAAAATGTCTTTAATAAATAAATTGTCGGACCTTGTCCATTTCTTAATATATATATATATATATTAAAGAACAATAATCTACATAAATTGATGACATTATGGTAATGATGATATTAACTGTTTCCCTCCAAGGAAACATTCAGCAATCAATAACCGAACATCCAGTGCCATTTTCGGTGGAAATTTATAAAATCTTCCTATTAATATCCAGTAGCTATCACCACTCTTTCCAGTATTTACAGGGGTTTTCTTTCATCTTTTATATGAAGTAGGTGTGAAATGTCAACATCATTATGATGACATTTGTGGGATTCAGCATACCCGGATTAAAGGAGAATTTAATACGGGATACCCTGCCCACAAAATACAACGCAAATTTCAAGAAGAAACAACACGATAAGGAACGTTTATAAAAAATAGAACATTGTATATTTATTATCTTGTGAATAGGGTAAAAAAGATTACTGTTTTAGTTCGTTTAAGCAAAAATGTGATTTTGATAAAAATGTCTGTGTTCGCTGTCTTTTAACAGAGTAGCAGAGTAATATATATTTGTATAGTTGCAAATGAAAAAGGGGCGAGCAATTTAAGTTGAAAAAGACAGTGTGAATGAGGAATAAAGATGAAAGGAAAATGTACTTATGAATTGTTTTGGAGTCAGTTGTAAATTTGTTGTTGTTGTTCCTTCCTACTCCACTTTTCGGGTTGAGTCAGTGATGAAATTTACTGTCAATCTTCTGTGATCTTTTGCGCCCTTGACTGACTGACTTGAAAACTACGTATTTATTGTTGACTTTTTTTTCACACTGGCTCGTTATCTTTTTTTTTTTGGTTTAGCAAATCGCCTCCTTTCATTGGTCAGAAAATTAATTTCACACCTTATTGTGAAATCTTTTTTTGGTCGTTTTGATCCGATTTTGCGGGTGTGCAAATCTACTTTGTGTTTTTTTAGTCATTTGTTGGAATATAGGATTTGTATCCTATACATTATTTTCTCTTCAAGTACAAGAGCTATCCATTTCCGTTATTACTGCTATTGAAATTCCTAAAATGATGTAGTTTCTGTTATTCAGTCCAGTTCTTTGATTCTGCATCGATAGTCCACAAGATTCAAAGAAGTACAGTAGTATACTGCTGACTGTTCAGATATTTCTGAACGGGTTTGGAATCGTACATAACATCCAGATGAAAGTCTCAATCATTCGAGGCTATTTAAGAACATGACTCAACTGTTCATTTATGATAAATAATTATTATCACATCATGTTTGTGCCAATGCTTCTGATAAAATTACCTCCCCAAAAATATTTTTTTTTAACGTGTTAAGAATTCGGAAAATCCAAAAAGAATTATGCATCAATGAAGTATGTAGAGTTTTAGATTTGACATTTGTAAATTAAATTTGACATGCATATTAAAGGCTCAAAAGAGGCATAAGATAGAATGACAGAAGATGAACCGGGGGATATTAAGGGGATAAACTTAGCTACAATGGATAGGAAGTTGTGAAGAGCCATGATAGCCAAAGTCCTTAACAGTCACCGTACACAAAAGATCCAAAATAAAGAAGATCAATTGAATTAGTAACAATTCTAAGGGAGACAACTTTATCAAAACAGAGTCGACTAAAAGAAAACTATATTGTTTTTAAAATTTAAGAGGAAAGGCTGAGATGGACACTTAAAAATCTTCTCTAGCAAATATATGGCCGTCAGAGGAAAGGAATCTGCTTCTTGGCTGATTTTATGCCGCCGGTCTGTTGTCTAGCAATGTATCCAAAACAAGGGAGAACACTAGGTTACGCTACAATTCTAAGGGAAGCAACTCTGTCAAATCACAAAATAAAGAAAAATTGGTTGAAAATACAGGTCTGTTGATTTTTTTTAGCGGCATATCAACCTCTACGGGTTATTTACGACACAAATCTAAATATTTTGAACATAGTTTTATGGCTTCAAGTACAGACAAAATCTATTGTTGGTAATACTACTATGGATGGTTGGTAATTTTTTTTTTTTAATGTATTTTTATACATTCATAGTTTTTGGGAGTTTACTATTTGCTGGGATCCTAACAGGTGCTATCACTCCGAAACAGAGTGGACCTGGGGACAACAGCAATTAAGAGATGGTTCCACGCTCTTCAAAGCTTAAAATCACCCCATAAGAGGCCTTGCTGCCAGATGTAGTTTATCATCATACCCAGGACTATAAAGCATGAATAAAGTTCTTAATTGTCTGCTTTGTGGCTGAGATAGTTGTGTATTTTGTATTGGTGTCACTGAGAAATGTTTCTAGTAAAGATGAAAGCGGAGATTTTGACAATTATTTTCAAAGCAACAGAGTCGGATCTGAAGATCCATTCTAACGCAATCCGTCAACTGCTCCAAATTTTTTGCTCAGATTTCAATTTGTCCCAAAGCTTTTTAAATAGGAATCACTTTTACATCTTCAGGTTTAATTCCAGCCGTGTGAAAAAAGAACCAATTGCTGCTTCTTTAAAATTTATTTCATACAAAATGAAAAATATCTTTATTTATTAAATTTAAGGAATTGTTTCAATCCTTTTAGCTTGTTTGGAAAATAATGTCCAATTTTATAATCAATTTTTATTCCAGAAGTAATTCCTTTAAACAGTTCAAACCAGTCAGAATAGGAATCCTGGACATCTATATATTTCTGCCATCGATTTACAAGGTTGTTTATGCCTTTCAGATATTTCATAATCAACTTTTATTCCTGAATTGATGTATTTAAATAGTGTTTAAATCAGTCAAAATCGGATCCCTGAACATCTATTGAATTCTGCCATCGAATTACAAATTTATTAATGCCTTTACAATAAAACTCAAAAATCAGGAATGCCAAGAAATCTTGGAATGCAGTTTTTGCATCTACTATGCTATGGAATGTCTTTTGGTTTTAAAAATTATCAAGGTGTTTAAAAAGTGGTAGTCAGTGAATGGGAGATCAGTGGAATATGGCGGATATAGCAAAGTCTTGAATGCCAAGTCGGTGAGCTTCTACAGTGTTATCCAGAAAACATCCTGACTGAGCATTGTTATGAAGCAGGGCAATGCCAATCATTATCTACATTCTTCCTGATGACTCTTCTATTGTTCTCGCTCCTTAGTAATATTTCTGTTTTTAATTCTTCCGCACCTAGTAACCTCTTGTGTCTTAGTGGCTTTACTGCCTTGCTTGGGATGAATTAGATTTAAAAAAGTTTACCATCAAAATAGAAACCTTGAACATCTATACATTTCTGCTATCAAGTTACATTATTTATATCTTTACCATAAAACTCTAAAGGTTCGGACACCAAGAAATCTTTGAATGCAGTTTTTGTTTCTTCTTTGCAATGGAATGTCTTTTGGCCTAAAAAAATTCAGAATATGCTTTAAAATTTGGTAGACAGTGGGTGAAAGATCAGTGGAACATGGTGGTCATGGTAATATCCAATTTTAGAATCAACTTTTATTCTTGAATTGATGTATTTAAATAGTGTTTATATCAGTCAAAATAGGAACTCTGAACATCTATAGGATTCTGCTATTGAATTACAAGGTTATTTATGCTTTTACAATAAAACTCTAAAGGTGCGAATGCCAAGAAATTTTTGAATGCAATTTCTGCATAATCTTCTGTTTTATTTACATTCAGAGCTGAGTGTAATAAAGCATTGGTTTGTGCATTTGGACTCAGCAGAAATGGGTGAGTAATAATTGGACTATACTAAAACTAAGAACTAAAATAGATATTCCAAGACATAGGCAGTGGAATGAAGACAGTCTAGCCCCATAGACTGAATAAAGGGTTCAGTTTGGAATTCTCTGTAGGTTACCCAGATTGATATGCACCTGATGAAGGACAGATTGCATAATGGCTGAAACATTGTAATAATAACAATGAAGACAATAGACTGAATGTAAATAGTGCAAATAATGATAACTCTTCACCCCAGAAATTAAGAGGAATGTCTTTTGGCTTAAAAAATTGTCATGTTGCTTGAAAAAATGGTAGTCAGTGGGCGAGAGATCAGAGAAATATAGTGAATGTGGCAAAATTTCATATCCCAAGTGAACTTCTGCAGTATCATCCTGGAAAGATGTGGCCGAGTATTGTCATTAAGCAGAATTGGACCTCATCAATTAACCAGTGCCAGCCGCACTTAAATTGAATTATCATTTCATCCAAAAAATTTTGGTAGTGATGCTCTGGTTAGTTCAGTTGCCACCCAAGGCTATAGAACCCAGTCTGCTCTACTATTTACCCATATTGTAGGGGAGAAGATTCACATTCATACCCAAAGGTATTAGCTCGTAAATCAAGAGTTGTGGTCTTCGAGTCAATGCCAACAATCTTTTCCTTAGTTACATAGCATGTGCTTTGTTAAGGCCACATACAGTTTTGAATTCAGAGTTTTTCTTCTCCTAGTTCGATTGCCACCCAAGGCTATAGAACCCAGTCTGCTCTGCTATTTACCCATACCTGTGGGGGAGAAGTGTTGGATTCATACCTGTCCCAAGGGTATTAACTCATAAATCAAACATTTGGGTCATCCAGTCAATACCAACAATCTTTTTCCTTAGCTGCATATTATGTGCTTCACCAGAGCCACATACAGTTTTGAATTTAGAGTTTTTCTTCTAGACTGGTTAGAACCCAGTCTGTCCTACTATTTACCCATAGCTGGGGGGAAGGAGAAGAGATGGATTCATACTTTTCCCAAGACTATTAGCACCTAAGTGAATATAATGAACTCAACTGGAATTCAAACTCAGCGATCAGATTCCTCAATTCAAGCCACAATCCATTACTCTTCTATGCCTCTTGAATTTTTAATTACTTTTAATAATCCTCTTTTATCATCTCTCTGTAAACAGAAGGATTTTGATTGATTTTTAATTGCTTTTTATGGTTTATCACCCTTTTTTTCACATGTTATTTAAAGCCACAAAATATTTTTAGAGTGTAAGAATTTTTTAGAGATAACTGATACAAGTTCTACTAATTAACCCATAGCTGGGGAGAGAAGAAGCATATTCATACCATTCCCAAGCGTCTTTGCATGTAAGTGAAAATAACAAACCTGACTGGATTGGAACTTGACACTTTGATTTCCAATTCCAGGCTGTTATAAATTACACCACCTGCACATCCAAACTCACAGCACCTTGTTTTCCCAAAAAATAACTCATCTAGGTAACGATGACCAGGTAGACCAGGCTCAATGTTGCTTAACTTTGGTGATTGTACAAGACTTCTTGTTTGAACATGATATGGCCATACGATTTTAAACGAAAGGTGTGGTTGGTGGACTTAAAGGTAACCAGTTTTTAATGTTATACTTTTGTTTGTTTATACTGTATATGTCAGCAAACTAGGTGACCTTTTAACCCTAAAAAAATCCCCACCAAAATAAGGAGTCATCTTATACTCCTGGTATAAAATGAGAACCTTAAATCCTGTGATTTAGTCTTCTTTTGGGTGGAGTGGTTTTCACTACCAAAAATCAGCATCCCCCCCAAAAAGCATAGGAATAGTGGGTATAGCTCATGATTTACAGAAACTTTGGTGTCCGTCACATAAAGATTGGTTTGTTTTGTAGCAAATCGACCACAATCGGTTATTTAATGCGAACAATTTTTATTGCTGGTAATATTTTCCTTCAACATGAATCACTGGTAATATTTTTTTTCCTTCAAAAATGTATGGCTGGTAATATTTTTTTTTCCTTCAAAAAATGTATGGCCGGTAATATTTTTTTTTTCCTTCAAAAAATGTATGGCCGGTAATATTTTTTTTTTCCTTCAAAAATGTATTGCTGGTAATATTCACATGAAGACAAAAAGATGTAAGATTCAATCTAATGAATGAAAGGAACTATGCAAGTTTTAAATACCTTCCCAAGAACAAATTTCTTACATTTTGCAAATTTAAATTGTTTTTAATATTTTAGAACTTACACTAAAAAGGGGAAAAGAATTTTTGTTTTGGTCATTTTTTGTCATTGTTATTTGAAACTGAGGGGCTAGAGAAAAAATTATGGGATAAAAAGTGTGTTAATTTGATGGAGTTTGTGTTATAGTGCCCCAAAATTCATTTAATACAGGTCATTTTTTTAAAAAGAGTGTCAAGATAAATCTGTCTGTTACTTCTAACATTCATTTTCACAAGATTCCAGCGACATTCATAACAAAACGAGGTAGAAAAAGAAACCATCCAAAACTGATCGTCTAAAAAAATAAATGATTAAACGCATGAGTTTTTACTAACTTCAAACGATCATAAGGTGACAAATACTTAGAGTTCAGACAAAGTTAAACCATTTCTGAAACCCTGAGACTGTTTATTTCCCAACTAGATATCGTATGTACCACTTGGGAAATGTTTAAAGAAATTGCCAAATATCATTTTGTGAGCCCACTGTAAAACATTTCACAACATTAGAGAAGACAAAATCATCAGGTTGTGTCTTCGATTCATTTTGAAACACAAATTCCAGAATGAAACAGAAACAAAAATTACATTACCCTTCAGTGTTTTTGAGTTCATCTTTGAGGTTCTGTGTTTTGTAATCTATCACAACATCTGCCCCTAAGGACTCAACTAAGGGCACAGCATCTGTGCTGCAAGAAGTCGTCACATGAGCACCCCAGGCTTTCATTAACTGAAGTAGAAAAAAAAATGTTTTAGAAACAGAAAGAAAAAGTTCTTCAAAATCTTTTTGCAGACCAGAATTTTGTCGTAATCATGACAAGCAAAATACCTTGCAGGTGTGATGAACATCTGTGTATATTTTTGAGATGAGCTATTATGATTATTTACATTATTCAGACGGTTATCTTCATATTCATAGGCATATTCACAACTTTTCAGCTATTGTACACTCCAGTCTTCTTCAGAAATAAAGAGTTTGGTTCAAAATTTCACTCAACTGAAGAAGACCGGAGCATATAATGGCCAAAACGTTGTGAATATGGCAATGAAGATGACAATAACAGTCTGAATAATGTAAATAACGTAAATAAGGTGTCTATATTTCTGAGATAAGGTATTATGTACACTATTTACATTATTCAGACTATTGTCCTCATCTTTGTCGCCATATTTATTACAACATTTCAGCTGTTGTACGCTCCAGCCTTCTTCAGGTGGTTGGAATGTCGAACTGAACCCTTTATTTCGCTCAGTGGGGTAGACTGTTCTAGTTCCACATGCCATGTCTAATGGATGTCAGTTATCTCCTGTTAACTCCCCTCTCCAAGTTCTCCAACACCTCAACCAGGTATTGAACTCATGTTCTTTGGGTCCTGTCACTGGATCTAACTAACTTTATACACTGTGCCATGTGTCCTTGAGAACATTTGTGTATGAGTTTTTGGATATTATAAACCTAATGTCTTCAGCAACCATTTTTTTTACCAGGCGTTAGATCCAGTGACAGGACCCAAAGAGCATGAGTTCAAAGTCTGGTTATGGTGGTGGAGAAATTGGAGAGGCAAATTAACAGGAGATAACTTATAACTGACATCCATTAGACATGGCACGTGGAACTAGAACAGTCTACCCCAGTGTGTGAAATAAAGGGTTCGGTTTGACATTCCAACCACCTGAAGAAGGCTGGAGCATGCAACAGCTGAAACGTTGTAATAAATATGGCGACAAAGATGAGGACAATAGTTTGAATAATGTAAATAGTGTAAATAAGGTGTGTTGAAATTATTCATGAATTATACCAGCCAGTGAAATTTATAATTAACAGCTGGCCAAAGTGTGAGTAACATTGCAAATTTAATGTATAACAGGAGAGAGCTAGAGATGAACGATTTAGTCTCTCATTTACGTTTCCCCCATTATGGTCATTATTTTATTGATGACATAATAACAACATAGACATAATAACAACATAGATGTAATAGAATGGCTGAAAGTAAAAAGAAAGATGAAGATGCTTTGTTTGTAGATTGTAGAGTGACTTTTATACTAAGACATACACAAAACTATATATACATATATATAAACATGTCAAAGAGTAATATTTTTTTTAAGCATTTCACCCTCAGCATTTTACAGCAGCTCCTACAATACCTGGAATAAAGTTAATTTATGAATCACCTGTATACAACCGTTTTCTCAAAAATCTAAAAAAATATTAATTATTCCATACTAATGTGAAAAAAAATAGACATTGGAAACATAGTTACTTCTGGTTATTAATTATAGATAAATATATATAAATTTTCTCCATGTGCTGAAATTTATTCCTTCTGAAAATGTCAAATACAATTTTCTTGAAAGTTCTCAACCTCATCCATTACAACTGGTTTCCCTCTTTGTTACAGTCTCCAGCTCTTTCAGTTGATTGCCAGTTTGCAAACAAAAACCTCTTAGGTGAGGGTAAATTTCTTCACTTGAACAATTCTTCTTTGGCATTATCATGCAATGGGTGGTGGAATAGTTGTCAAAGTCGGGTGGTGATGTCAACTGTTTGACTTTCGGGCTACCTACACCCCACCTGACCTGCAGATGAAACATTGCAAACCTTTTGCTACTAAATCACTTTTTCAATGGCAAAATCTCTGACAAACTACATCACTTGGTTCCACCAGTTCAGACCTTTACATCTAAGACTCATTCAGCCACGTGTAAAAAGTAAAATTACCCTCATTCTCTTCGCATTTCAATTGAAAGAAGTGGATATGTGGGAGGGTGCAATTAATTGTAGCCAAGAATGAGAAATCTGAGCATTCAGTTTGAATTCCAGTCAGTTTAAATTTTTATATATATATATATATATATATATATATATATATATATATATATATATTTTAAGCATTTCACCCCAAGTAAGGCGGGAAGCCACTAGCATGCAAGGGGTTACAGAGAGTTTGAGTGAGAGCAAATAGGAGTGATGGGGGAAAGGATGAAGAGAAGGATAGGGGATAGATCAAGGCATCTGGAGACGTTGATTGACATTACATTTGAATAGTTGGAGGTTATAGCTATCAGGGAAACAGGAAAATGGGAGGGAGTTCCACCGGCAAGAAGTGCGAGACATAAAGCTATTGGAGTAGAAGAGACGGATACATTTAACAGATTCGACAGTGAAAGGGTGAGAGTGAGAGGTCAGCCTAGTTGAACGCTTAAATTCATGAAGTCTGGGAACCAGCGAAAGCAGCTTATCGGAGCAGTTAGCGTGAAAGTATTTGTAACAAAAACAGAGGGAGGCGACGGCACGTCTGTGAGAGAGCTACACTGCAAAGCAGAGTGTAAGCAGAAACAAAAAAGAAGGGTGTTAAATATAATATGGAGAATCTCCTGTATCTGGAGAAGCCATGGTTAGGACTCCAGATTCAAATGGGCCGAATTCATCTACTATATCCAGGCAAGGACATATTCCACAAATGGGAAACAGCAAGTCTTGAGTTTTCCAAAACTGAGGACTGCAAGTTGGAGTTTCGTTCTATATCTGAGAAAGATATATTCCCAAAGGGAAACAGCAGCATGTGCTTGTAAGCTGCTGGGGGAGAGAGATTTAGACTCAGCTTCGACACCTTGGCCCAAGCTAAAAGAAAGCAATCTCTAGGTTTGGCTGCTGTAAACAAACTGAATGACTGCCACTTTAATCACTGTACAGCATGACATCATAAAACAGCTGTCATGTGACTCTCATGATTTATCTGCACCAAAGGAAGATACCAAAGGTCTGTATCTTTATAAATGAAAAACATCTGATAGGCCAATTTACGTAACCTGGATTTTACAAGTAGATCAGAAATACCTCAAGATCTGCACAAAATTCTTTATTTTTAACCCAAGTTCAAAAGAAGTGGAGAAACATAAGATTCTGTTAATTGTAATGTTGAAATAAGCCGTTTCCATACAGGAAACATTCAGCAATCATTTAGCATTACCATCGGTTGAAACTTATGAAATATCTCTCCAGAAAATCATCTTCTGAAGTCCATTAACTGCTATTGCTCTTTCTAGTAGTGACGAGAGCTGCCTTCCTAACCTTTTGTTTTAAGTAATGTGAAAAGTCAGCATGTTAATTTAACCATTACTTTCCCTTCTCATTATATGTACTATCCATTTTAGTGGTAGCTGCTGTAGGAAGTCCTCAAGTAATATGGTCTTTGGTAAAGTTCTTTGTGATTCTGGTGAAAAACTCAGAGAATACTATGTTTATTGAATCCACCGACATAGAAGAAAATGTGTAGGATTTGAAAAGTGCATTTTGCTTAAAAGCAAAAAAAAAATAAAAAAATAAAAAATCTGCAATTTTATCAATCCTGACATGGCAATTTGGCTTCAATCACTTTCTCACAGCCATAACATAGGTTCTCTGTGTCTTTTCTATAAATATTTTCATGGTAATTGTCCTTATGAGTTTTCTCCTTTGATACTTTGACTTTATGAATTTAAGTGCAGTACTGGATTGGCAGCTAGGTCTCATCATTTTACAGTTGAGCTGGCTAGATGTAACCATAAGTTCTATGCTAATAGTTTCTTTTCTCACACCTGTTACTTGTGGAACTTTGTTCTAGTTTTTTTTTTACATCAAAAATGTCAACTATGACCTTCAAAAATTTAAATGCAGCTGCAATCATCATTTTCTGTCTTCTCAAATCTTGTTCTTTTATTATCTTATCACCTCAGTAATGTTTTTCTCTGTTTCTTTCATTCTCAGCAACCCCCTTTCATTTTAGTAGCTTTAAAGCCTTGCTTGGAGTGAAATGCGTATAAAAAACAAAACCAGAAAACTGTAAACAGAGGAAGAAAATATTCTGTAGAGACAGGTAGAAATGAAAATCTGAATCAAGCAAGTTCGGATAATTTAGTGGGTAGAGTATAGTTTCCTATTTCAACTCTTAAGCTTCTGCAAGTTTTTTTTTGCAACATGCCGTCTTGCATTGTCATGGTGGAAAATGATGCCTTTTTGATTTCGCAAAATCAGCCAAATTTCTTCAAAAAAGAAGAAAGAAGAGATAGATTCACACTTTTCCCAAGGGTATTAGCACACAAGTGAATGTAATGAACTCAACTGGAATTCAAACTGGGCTTTCCAATTCCTCAATCTGAGCCAATATCCATTACTCTACCATGCCTCCATCATCTAGTTATTATTATATTACTCAGCCTAGTTCCACTGAAACTAAGTACACACTACCCTACCCAGAGATTGAACTCACAATTTCCTATAGAAAATAATGCAGAAATATTCTCTGCCCAACCAAGAAACCCTTATAATAGGTACCTTCACGAGATCGCTAAAAAAAGAGCATAGCATGATGAAAAAGACACCAAACTTGACGAAAACAAAATTTTATCGTCTATATGTTTATGCTATTATTAAGAGGAAAGATCAAAGTATCTTGGGGGTATTTTTTTACATTTTTTTTTAACCGTTCCAAAATTTTTGTTAAAAATTTTTTTTTTTTGTCAGCAAAATTGACAGATGGCAAACCAATTTTTTTCCATTTTATAAAAAGATGAAAATCTCAGTTTGAAATTCTTTTAAATATCAATTATCATTTTTTCAAAACTTATTTCAAGAAAATCAGAAATTATAATGTTTATTTAAAATATTTTGAACCAAGCTTAACTTAGGTTCTGCACCGAAAAGATGTAATTTGAAAGTAAAACAAAGCAGGTTATAAACTTTTGCATCACTTGACAGGTGATGAATGACATATTGATGGATTCCGTGAGGATAATTTGTTCTACGGAAGGAGAAAAGTAAAATTATTTACATTATTTAAGTGAACAAATTATTTACCTCGTTATTTTTAAGGAAAACTTTCAGTGCTCTATATTTTTTTTGTTTTTTGTACTTAGCTTTCACCTTTACATTTACGATGCTTTATGGAAAATATATTATAAAGGAATTAAAATAAGACTGTTAAGAGTGAAATTAAATTTCATAAGAAAGGTATTTAATTAATTTATAGGTACCTTATGAAATTTTATCAGAAGTGTACATAAAATAGTATAATTTTTATGTACATTTACTACATTTTACTGTGTTATTTGTATTTCCATTCATTTTATTATTAATTTTGATATTTCATTTATGGAAAAAATACCATAACTGGGATTAATATAAAAATAAGATCATACAAATTAAAGTTTAGCAGTAGTTAAATTTCATAAGATGATACTGATACTTATAGGTACCCTTCTCAGTTGAAATTGAAAAATCAAAAAAACTTCTCTACATGTGTTTCGCAAAAGTAAAGGCCTTAACAGTGGAGAACAATGCTGAACTCAAATAATGCAACTAAATTGTATTCTGGTTGGTCTTCTGTACTTTATAACTAGAGCCCGATTATAAACACAAAATTACACTTCTTAATTACTGCGGGTCTTCTGATTAGACAAAATGATACAATTTACAATGTGCTATCTCATAAGGACACTTATGAAAGTAGATGTGGCTTTTAAGTAATTTTATAATGTTTAACAACTTAAATGTAAAAATCTATTATAATTAAAAAATAACAAATAATTATATTAAAAATTCATTTTTCATCGAAAATGTTTTTTGCTTTCAGAAAATATTGTACATATTCATAAAACCAACAAAAAGCAAATAAAAGCATTTGAAATTAAATAATATATTTGTTTTATTGAGTTTTGTATGTTACAATTCAGAGCTGATTTTCGGGGGGGTCCAATTAAAAAACAAAAAAAAGTGATTTGCATTCCTCAAAGCCTCGTGCATTTAACTATTGTAATTACTGAAGTGGACTCGATGGGATTTCTAGAGTTTTCATAAAATTAGTTATGGTGGGGTGGGTAATAAATATAAAAAAATATTTCTGCCATGACTAATTAAAAATAAAAAAAAACATTTATATTAATTTCAATCATCTGTGAATAGTTTCTGAAAGTTTCATTAACATCCGACAATTATTTTTATTTTTGCAAGATTTTCCAAATTAATTGGTGTCATGCAAAAAAAAAAAAAAAACGTGCTAAAAATTTTATATGTTATTTTACTAGTTCCAGTGATACAAAGAGAACAAAGATTTTTAAATGAAAATTCAGATTGTTCTAAAAAGAAGGAAAAATTTTTTAAAATAATTAAAATAAACTTTGATCTTTCCTCTTAATAATAACAAACATTTAGATGATAAAAATTTTGTTTTCGTCAAGTTTGGCATGCTATCTCTTTTTTTTAGCGATCTCGTGGAGGTACCTACCTTATTATTATTATTATTATTATTATAATAATTTATAATTATTTACATACAGACTATTGTCCTCATCATTGTTTTTATCATCATAATATGGCCAGCATTGTTGCCGGTCAACTGATGGTTATCTGCTGACTACTTTATTCCTTCATCTGCCCTGCTCCACATTGTGTTTGTTGATCACAGTGCAGTGAAGATCAAATTTTGTCCGTACTTGAGTGCTGAATCAAGCTACGGCAGAACTGTGCTACAAAAGGACAAAAAACGCTTTCTCTGGGGAAAATACAAATAATGTAACAAATAACGAAGAAAGTCGCTGGGTTAATTTTCACTTGGTTTATACAGTCATTGATACAATAAAATTAAGCTTTGCTATTAAACTCTCTATTGTGACACTGTCTCTCTTACTTCTAAAATTTGGAGTGTGTCAAAACATTCACACAAACAGTTATCAGGAATTCTTGGCAGAAGGTCACATGGGGTTCAGCAGCTCCTTCATCCACTGCTGACTCATCTCAGCTCTCATTCCAACTGCTGGCCTCAACTAAGCATTCAGTTTATGTGTATTTTGCCAGACTCCTACCACACCTTATTCATCAATTATTTTCTCCAATGTTGGAGACACAACAACCCCTCAAAGCAGTCAGCTATTTCAAAACAATTCCTTGACAACAAACTTTGTTTAACATTCCTTTCAACAATTGGCAACTTTACTGGAAACAATTTTTCCGTTAACAAACTTTTATGTTTAAATATTATCTCTATTTTCTCTGACATAAAAAGAATTTCATTTTGTTGACAACTTTCAAAATGACTAATTTAAAATTTCATTGTTTACATTTTGGCTTCATGAATATTATCTCAATTCACTCCTTGGCCGACAATGACCTTCAAACAAGAAGTGGGAAGCTATTCAAAACAATCCAATAACTTTTGTGTTTAAAAAATATTTCCATTTTTCTAATGTCAAAGAATTAGGTTGACAATTACATTCTGGTTATCAGAAAAAAAACAAAAAAAAAAACATCTCTTTTGTTTTCCTTGCTTCATATTTCAATCTTTGTTTTCACCTTAATGCTTTTAGCATTTTTTTTTTTTTTTTAACTCTCCCAAATCTCCAATTCCTATTTGGGGTTTTCACATGAACCCTTTTAATCCTAATTTCTTACTACCGGGGTCACATTCTTGCTTCTAAAATTTGGAGGGTGTCAAAACATTCACACAAACAATTATCAGGAATTCTTGGCAGCAGGTCGCATGGGGTTTAGCAGCTTCTTCATCCACTGCTGACTCATCTCAGCTCTCCTTCCAACTACTGTCCTCAACTAAGCATTCCCCCACCCCTTGCATGATAATGCCAAAGAAGAATTCGGGTGTTATTCCTTCAAGCATTCATCACGTACTTATTGATCTATGTAACCTTCAAGGAATTTTGAACTGATCCCTATATTATCTATATACATAGGTAGATTGTTCATGCTCTGCTGGTTATATCGAGTGATATCTCCTTTAGTTCTTATTTAGTAATACTCAGTTATTGCTCCACCCATTTCCACCAAGTACATGCTGTCCAACCCAAGAGTTGAAATGACAATTTACTATGTCACCAAATTCATGACCCAACACTATAATGCACTAAGCTTCTAAAAGAATATAATTCGAAATACTCAGATCAACAAGAACCTGTTGAAGGCTGTAGAGCACAATGGCTGAAACAGTTGTGATAAAAACAACGAAAATGACTGGTCGTTACTTGATTAGAGGCATATCAACGGATTGTTTAACACCCACAAGTGAACATAGCAAACCCAAATGGAATTGGAAATCAGCTGATTAACAATTCTGAGCCATTATCCATTATATCAGCTGCACATCCAAGCTTACAGAATCAGGTATTCCCAAGTGGTCACCCATTTAAGTACTGACCAGGCTTGATGTTGCTTAACTTCAGTGATTGTATGGGAACCAACAATGATGAGGATAACAGTCTGCATGTAAATAATAACTCCTCATTCCAGAAATTCAGACTGGTGCTATATGAGTGTATGTAAAGTCTCAAGTATAAACAGCATCCCTGGAGATACTTGTGTTGGGTAATGACCACTGCCATTGATCCTGTAAATCATTTTCTCTTGAGGGACATTTAAACTAGCTTTGCCTAACAACTTCCACAGAACTAAAACAACACAATATGGATGCGGAAACCACTGATGAAAGAGGCAAAACTATAGAGATGTTAAAAGGTTGTATGTTTGTGGTGTATAATTAGGTAAAGGTGCATGTTTACATACGATAAAAAAAAAAAAAAAAAAAAAAAAAACATACAAAAACTTGGGTTTCTACTACAGACTCTTTATTCTTTTCTTATATATAAACTGTTGTGAAACAAAGTTCTCAATATCTGTTAGTTATATCCATTTTCCTTTTGATCCAGGAGTTACAGTAAGTAATTACAGACATCATATTAATAGTCAAGCTCAAATCAGCCTTGTGCAGAGTTGGAACAACCAAAGGAAGGTTTGTACTTTCTTTATCACTGTAAAATTTAAACATGGTTATGGGATACGTTTTCTTTTCCTTGGTCCATAAGTTAGAGTAAGTAAGCATAAACACCGTCACAATGGTCACACTCAAGTCAGCCATGTGCTGAGTTGGAACAACCAAAGAGAAAGCTTGACTTTCTTCATAGGTGAAAGTTTTTGGAAGACATGCATTGGAAAGTGGGAAGAGAGTTCAGTCATCAGTGGACCAATAAAACTAGGGGAAATGTAATTACCACGTGGTTCTACATCTCGGAGTAAAAATGAGAAAGAGAGTGAGGCGGGAAAATGACTTTTTATAGACATCAACAGTGCCACAAAACAACGTTTGACAAAACCAAGTAGGGTAATTTCCAGTTCCTTTACTCTTAGCATCATAGGAAAATGTATTTCTTTGTTTTTTTTTATTTCTCATTATTATTATTTTATTTCTCAATTTTATTTCATTTACCCACAATGCCATGGCGCAACATGTACAGTCATACAGAAAAATAACTATTTAAAAATGTATCGCCCATAAACATAAGGATCCATCACTGTCAAAGTGAGAAAGAGAGAGTGGTGTTGGATTTTTTTTATGGAGGGGGAGAACAAGACACCAGAGCCACTCAAGATGGAGGGTTACCAAATGAGTTTATAGAAAATAGATATTTGACCCAAGACTTGAAGAGGTTAATATTGTAGTGATCAGGGAAGCATTCTCTTAGGAATCTGTTCCACAAAGTAACAGTTCTTGGAAAGAAGCTTTTCAAAAGGAACCTTCTTACCAATGGTTAACCAATTTATCAACCATTTCTGGATTATTTGAGACCAAAACATATTTTGAATTGTAAGAAAAATTATTTTCTTACAAATGAATAATGTATTATCATTTTTTTTTTTTTTTTTTTTTTTAAGAATAACAAAGATTTTCCCAGATAAAAGTTCCACAATTTAAGCAAAAGTCAGGGCAGGGGAGAGATTAATTCATATCTTCCCCCCAAGTGTATTTATGCATAAATGAATACTATCATGGTAACTACTCCGATGTACTGCTTTCACTAGTTCCCAGACTTCATGAATTTAAGCGTTCAACTAGGCTGGTATCTTACTCTCACCTTTTCACTGTTGAAACTGTTAAATGTAGCCCTCTCTTCTACTCCAATAGCTTCATGTCTCACACTTCTCGCCTGTGGAACTCCCTCCTCTTTTCCTGTTTCCCTGATAGCTATAATCTCCAACTATTCAGATGTAATGTCAATCGACATCTCCAGATGCCTTGATCTATTCCCTATCCTTCTCTTCATCCTTTCCTCTATCATGCCTCTTTAGTTTTGCTCCCACTTTCTGTAACCCCTTGCGTGCTTAGTGTTACTCCCACCTTGCTTGGGGTGAAACACTTAAATAAAAAAAATAAACTGACTAGAATTCCAACTGAATGCTCAGATTTCTCATTCTTGGCTACAATTAATTGCACCCCCTCCCACATATCCACTTCTTTCAATTGAAAATGCAAAGAGAATGATGGTAATTTGACTATTTACATGTGGCCGAATAGGTCTTAGATGTAAAGGTCTGAACTGGTGGAACCAAGGGATGTAGTTTGTCAGAGATTTTGCCATTGAAAAAGTGATATAGTTACAAGAGGTTTGCAATGTTTCATCTGCAGGTCAGTGGGGTGTAGGTAGCCCGAAAGTCAAACAGTTGACATCACCACCCGACTTTGACAACTATTCCACCACCCCTTGCATGATAATGCCAAGGAAAATTGTTCAAGTGAAGAAATTTACCCTCAACCTAAGAGGTTTTTGTTTGCAAATTGGCAATCAACTGAAAGAGCTGGAGACTGTACAACTGATTTCCCTCTCTGTTAATGGATGAGGTTGAGAACTTTCAAGAAAATTGTATTTGACATTTTTAGAAGAAATAAATTTCAGCACATGGAGAAAATGAATATATATTTATCTATAATTAATAACCAGAAGTAACTATGTTTCTAATGGGTTTTTTTTTCACATTAGTATGGAATAATTAATATTTTTTTAGATTCAAAGAATTTTTTGAGATAATAATGAATTGCTGATAAAATATAATAATGCTTTACTAATACAATCTGGAGATCAACAGCCATCTCATTTTACAAGATCCAAATCTCCAACACCTACATTATGGCTGAAAAACCTGGCAGGTAACCAAGACCAACACCCACAAACCTCAGACATTTACCAACCGATGTCTCAGGAACATCCTCAATATCAGGTGGCCGGAAGTTGTCTCCAACGACCAACTGCAGGACAGGACCAGACAAGCCCCAATCAAGATAGACATCAAGAAAACAGAAATGGGGATGGATTGGCCACACACACTGAAAGCCGCCTTCTAGTGTCACCAGGAAGGCCACAAGGGAAGTGAAAAGTGGGTCAACCAAAACAGATTTGGCACAGAAGTACTGATGCAGAGTTGAAGGCAGCTGGCACGATGTGGGCCGAGCTGAAGAGGATTGCCCAGAACTGCATCAATTGGAGAGGTGTTTTTTTGGCCCTATGATCCCCACGGAATCAAGAGGAATAAGAAGAATACATAGCTGGGGAAAGAAGTGGTGAATTTATACCTTTCCCAAAGGTATTTACATGTAAGTGAATATAAAGAACCCAACTGAAATTGGAACTCTGCTCTCCAAATTCCAATTCTGTGTCATTATACATTACACCACCTGCACATCCAAGCTTACAGCACCTGATATTCCCAGAATAGTACCCACAAGAGCATGTTTTGGAAACTAACTCAGTCTACAAGACTAAGACCAAAGTCACCTGATTGAACTGTCGAGCTGACTACCAGTCAGTGATGTTCTTGCGATATGCTATGAATAATGCTGGCACCTACCAAACATTGCTAGGTGGTCCAGTAAATTTGGAAGGGTTAAACTGATATGTGCAACCCCTGACAAACAGTTTTTTTTATCTTCTATAAGCAATAGCTGATTGTCTTTCGTAAAAGCTGCTTCCTTCTTTATTTTTCTTGTAACTCGCTCCATCATTCCCAAGGATGTTTCAACCAGCATTGCGTAAAATTTCTTCAGGTCAAAAGCTTAAACATGCAGATAGAGAAGATTGGCAAAGTGAGGGTCCCAGCTGCGGACACAGGATGAAGAGTCAAGAAGCGCACGTGTGTGTGTGTTGGGGGGTGCCTTCTTACCAATGGAAATGGAAGAGAATGAGGGTGATTTGCCCCGGTGTATAGTGGGGTTGAAAAGGGAAATGCCTGAACTCTGTTTACAATTCTATGGTTACACTGTAAGCGAAATGAAAGTGTTTACTAACCTGAATGGCAAATGTCCCGACGCCTCCCGACCCTCCTTGAATAAAGACCCTGAAAATAGACAAGACTTTCAGTTTCATATGAGCAGATTAAAATATTAAAAATATCAGGAACATGAAATTACCCTCTAAGAACACAGCATAACACGATAAATTTAGGAATAAAAGAATCTATTCCTAAAAAGTTCCTGCTGCCAAGACCTTGGCATTGCTTGAGTGTACAGAAACTGCAATGTACCGATGGAGCCATTTTGTCACAGCTTTCAGGTTATAGCAGCTTAAAATGTAGAATGTTTGCAATGTTACATGAATGTGAGAAAGGAGTTATTGAAATTATTTACACTATTTACATTGTTTGGACTGTTGTCCTCATTTTTATTGCTATATTCACAGTGTTTTGGCCATTGTATACTCCAACTTTCTTCAGGTGATATATGTTGGAATTTCAAACCAAGCCCTTTATTTAGTCTATGTGGGTAGATGGTTCTAATTCCTCATGCCATACCTTTTTTGGATATCTCAGTATCAGTTAATTCCCTTTAGTAACTCACCTCTCCAAGTTCTTGTTCCCTCTGTTGTGGCCAGGTATTGAACTCACAACTCTGAGTCAGGTCACTTTTTAGATTACTCAACCAGTGCTTTTATCCACTGGGCCATATGTCATTGGGGACTAAATAAAGGGTTTGGTCTAAAATTCCAGCATATATCACCTGAAAAAGGTTGAAGCATACAACGGACAAAACGTTGACAATAAAGATAAGAACAATAGTCCAAACAATGTAAATAGTAGGAATTAAAATAAAGAAAATGTATCAGCTGGCTGGAGGTGAATCCAAGTAAAAAAAAAAAAAAAAAAAAAAAAAGAAAAGATATTCAGTAAGATTTAGGAATATGAACTAAAATGGAAGTTGTTTCAGAGTAGGATTCAGTGTAGTTCCTGCTCTTCCCTACTACTGTGTGTGACAATGGACTGCTCCTACTTATGGATATGGCAAGTAGCCACATTAGAGTAGGATTTAAGTAGTATTTGATATACACAAGTTTTTCTTTTCTATGTATTAGTATTTAATAAATCTCTTCTTTGTTTTCCCTACCTAGTCATCTGTTCCTTTGATAATCTCTCTAGCTACAGTCTTCCTAATTAACGACTAGTTTGAACAAAGATAATAATACAATGGTATGGCAAACAATAATGCTACAATTGGTGATTTACTTAAGCCTAACAAAGTTATACATCAAATAACAACGGCTAATTTGAGATTATATTTTCCCAGAATGCAACAACTTGTAGATTATCATAGGAAATGTTTTGCAGATGCCTCATCTGCTTGCCTGCCAGTCTGCCTGCCCAAGAGTGGTTCACATTTATAATCTTTCTGAAGGATTCTGCAGGTGCCAGATGTCCAATATATTGGAAATCAAGAAAGATTTGGAGAGTAGTGAAGTTAACTTTAGCTGCTGAGACCTTGGCGTTTCTTGAGTGGAGCATTTTGTCACAGCTTTCGGGGTGTAGCAACTTAAAAATAAAGCAATTGGTATTGCTAACCAGTCACCCATCTGGGTACTGACTAGATTCAATGTTGCTTAACTTTAGTGATCATATGGAAACTGGTGTTTAAACATGATATAACCATAAGCTCTTTTAGATTTTGTAGCTGTCCTTATAGGAGCAGGGCTGTGTAGTGGAAGTGTTTTGGGCTCATAACCCAGAAGTGTAAACATGCTGGGCTCAGGGTTGTTAACCAAGGCTAGAGGTCCTAATCTGTCCTGCTATTTACCCATAGCTGAGGGGGAGAGAAGATGGATTCATACCTTTTCCAGGAGTATTTGTGCTTAAGTGAACTCAACTGGAATTTAAGTTCTACTCTCTGATTTATCATTTTGAACAGCTATCCAATACACTACCACAGATCCTCAATTATACATTAATCTGTAAAAAGTTAAACAGTATCAAGCTTCAAACATGTTTTCAGAGCAAATTTGAACCCACATCTGAAGCCAAATGAAACCAGATTAAAAAAAAAAAAAAAAGTGAGTTTCATCAAACAATCACTTAACCACATTACAGATTTATTCACAAAGCTGGATACTTTTATTCAAACTGAAAAGACCCTTATACATTGAACAGATTCTTTTATTCCATGTAAGGATACCTCTCTTCAATGTAAAGATACCTCTATTCAAACAAAAAAGACCCTTATTTATTGAACAGATTCTTTTATTCCATGTAAGGATACCTCTCTTCAATGTAAAGATGCCCCTATTCAGTCTATTCAAACAAAAAAGACCCTTATTTATTGAACAGATTCTTTTATTCTGTATGAAGATATCTGTATTCAAAGAGTTATTCAATGCAATAACACCAATATTCCCTATGAACAATGCGAAATTCTACCCCTCAAGAGTCATGCTAAGTGCATTTATAGGTAATGGGTTGTCTGTCAGATTTTTGCCTCCTTACACTCCAATATTAAGCCCACTAGAAGGGTTTTTCAGTTCTTTGAAAAAAAAATCTTCTGCTGATCCTGAAGCTTCATACAATACAGAGTAATTAACAAATTAGCCAAATTGGATTTTGAAGGTTTTTTCATGAATGTCGATGGTTTTTATTCTTACAGGACAGAATTTTACAAAAAGTATTTCGTCAAAGCCCCAATATTGTAACATTTATATTAGTATCAATTAAAAAAAAAAAAAAAAAAAAAAAATTTTTTTTCTTTAACCTACAAAACAAATAGGCAAAAAAAAAAAATAGTTTTCAAAATACATCTGAAAGTGTTTTCAATTCTTTAAATGGTCTCATTACTTTGAATTCTCATCTTCATAGGAGTGAATAACGGTAGATTTTCTTATTTCAGATTAAAAAGGGAAAATCTGATTACCTGTGACTTTGAGCGTTTTTTTGTCTAATCTCTCCAACCAAACACAGTGCACTCCATGTTGTCAGGGCAACATAGGGTAGGGAAGCTGCTTCAACATGACTTAGATTGTTCGGCTTATGACTAACCTGTATGAAAAAGAAGAACAGTCCATTAGCCCTTATAAAGAGTTTGAAAGTGAAAGCAGTACTGGGTCTTTGACCAGAAGAACTTAGTATTATCCCATTTTAGGGTACAGTAGACATTAAAGTGTTATAAGTAGAAAATTATAATACCAATGTTTTAAGAAACCTATAATAATACAAGACATTTAATTAATTATTTTTTAGATGCCTATAATACAGGATTTTTATCTATAGAAACATAATACAATATTTTTATTATTTTTCAGAAACATAATTAATATAGAATTTTTATTTATTTATTTATTTATTTATACAGTATTTTTATTTATTCTTAGAAACCTACAATTAATAAAGATATTTTTTTTTACAGAATTCTTATTTTTTTTGTTTTGTAGGAAACCTAAAATATAGAATTCATTTATTTTTATTTTTTTGAAACCTATAATTGATAAATTTCTTTTTTTTTTTAGAATTTTTATTTAATCTTTATTTTTTTAGGAAACCCAAAATATAGAATTATTTATTTATTTTTTTTATAAAGCTATAATATAAAAACTATTTTTTAGTAACTTATAATATAAAAAAAAAATTATTTTCTTTAGTAGTTTATATAGAATTTTTATTTATTTTTTTGAAAACCTAACAGAATTTTTATTTATTTTTTGAAAACCTAACATAGAATTTTTATTTATTTTTTTGAAAACCTAACAGAATTTTTATTTATTTTTTTGAAAACCTAACATAGAATTTTTATTTATTTTTTGAAAACCTAACATAGAATTTTTATTTATTTTTTTGAAAACCTAACAGAATTTTTATTTATTTTTTTGAAAACCTAACAGAATTTTTATTTATTTTTTTGAAAACCTAACAGAATTTTTATTTATTTTTTTGAAAACCTAACATAGAATTTTTATTTATTTTTTTGAAAACCTAACATAGAATTTTTATTTATTTTTTGAAAACCTAACAGAATTTTTTTTTATTTTTTGAAAACCTAACATGGAATTTTTATTTATTTTTTTTGGAAATCTATAATATAGAATTGTTATTTTTTTGTGAAATAAACAAATGCTGAATATTTTTTTATTTATATTTTTTTAGAAACTTATAGAATTTTTATTTATTCACTTTTTTAGAAACTTATAATATAGAAATTTTATTTATTTTTTATAAACCTAAAATTGATACAGAATTTTTTTTTTCTTTTTTAGAAACCTATAATATGCTACATTTATTTTAATTTTTTTTTTAGAAACTTACAATAGTAGATTTTATGTAATTTTTAAGAAACCTATAACAAATATCTAAAGCTAAGCATGAAGCAGTGGTACATTATGTGGGCATTAATAAGAATGTCCCAAATCTACCTTTGCACCTCAAGATCAAATGAAATGGTGATGGTTGTCTCATTTCTGCCCACCAGACATCTTCATCAAAATTTGCAGCATTATCATTAGGGTGAACAAAATTATTAAGGTCTATCTGTAATAAATCCCAATCATCTCACAGGTTATATGAACAACTGGAGCAATGAGATATATATATATATATATATATATATATATATATATATCTATGTGAAAAGTGTATATAAATATAAAATGTATAATTATTTATATATTATATGTGGTACTTATTAGAAAGCGCTCAATATCAGAGATAGAGCTTGGTTGGATAGATGTGAGTTTGTGACCCTGGGTTTCACGCTTTAGCGATCGTCAGACAAACATAAATATATAAATATATATATATATATATATATGCCATCTCTCTTTAGGACATTATCAATCTGGCCTCACCACAGATTCCTTTTCTTTATTATCTGTGAATAGCCACGGTGAAGTGGTTTCCCATTGCCTTCTCCAGGTTTGAAACTCAAGGTTTTCCAATTTGTCCATGTTGTCACTATTACCATTTGTTTTAAGATACATTCAACCATGGGGCTCCACAGATTTTTTTCATTCATTATCTCTGAATGACGGTTTCAGAATTTTCCTTCTCTGAAGTTGGTTGCCACACAAGGCTAGAGAGTCAGGCCTAGCATGCTATTTAATCTATAGTTGAGGGTGGAGGAAGAGATATTTTTTCCAGGGGCAATTATGCAAAAGTGAACACAACTAAAGTAGGACAAAGCTTGAACTCTGTTCATCAATTCCACTTTCTGTGCTGATAACTGCTATGCTACCTGTACATCCTTCGGAACAGTATACGGACTAAAAAAAAAGGGGGGGACTCAACCCAGAGTTTTCCTTCTGCTATATTGGCTGTCACTAATCAGAGATGTCAGCAAGCAAGTATACAGATGTTTAAAGATCTGGGAAGTAAAGGCTACAAGAGATAGGAAGTTGTGAAGGGCCAGGATAACCAACATACTGAAGGGACATGATACCTAAAAGAAGACACTGGCTGTAGCCAAAGACAAATGTCTAGCATACTATTTAACCAATAGCTTCTCTACGAGGATTTGTGCAGAAGCCATTACAGAATACAGAGGCTGGGCCAGAATGGCAAGCAATTGATCAGAATAGCTCATGGTTGTGGAATTCTGACAGTAATTGTCTAAATTTTGGATATACGACCAAAATGGTGCAAAGTTAATAAAAAGAGCATAATGTAACAAATAAGAAAAACAAACCATCTTTTGTTAATATGGTCTATGAAGTGGTATTGGGGACTGTTGAGCTGAAGCCAGGTGTGACACAGGCGGCAACAAAGTGGATGCAACAGAGTAGCACGGAATTTTAACTGAGCAAGCCAATTCCAATTTCTGTGCTAATAGATCATGTATTACCGGTGCAGTGCATCTGTAGATTAATAATGTAGGAGAAGGAAATTAAAAAAAAAAAAAACCATTACCTCTTTCACAGATGCCAGACAAAAATCAGCATGACATCCTTGCCGAAATCCTCCAGTCGCTCCCCAGACCTGCAGAAAGAAAATAAGACTATAAAGCATCAAGAATTTAAATAAAAAAAATGGTTAGATGAACTGCCAATGGAAAGACTTGCTAAGAACGACCAACTAAAGATAAATCTTCATTGTAACCAGATTTTTTACCTTTTCTTTTCTCTCTTTGACTGGCAGTGAAATCTGTGCTTATTAGGTGAGAGGGGTCATCATTTGAGGGTGAGAAGGTGTTTACAAACAAAACTAAAAGAGTCAAAATAGTTGAGAAAATAGAGACAAACAAGAGAGAAAGATAAAATAAAATAGAAATTTTCATTCTATCAGGAACTTTTTGCATGGAGAAAAATTCAAGGAATGTTCTTAACCTTTAGCTAAATTCTTCCTAGAATTGTTCCCCCTGTTTTAAAATTGTTATAACTTTCTTTATACTGTGTATAGATTTTAAATTTTGTACACTTATAAAAGAATGAATGAGTTTAGAATCAGCTTTAGTTTACTGTTAAATGAATTGCCTCCTTGCAGGAAAACAGTGTGGAGTCATTTACTTGGAACTCTTTGTTCAGGACGTTTAGCTTTTCAAAACTGAAAGACAAGTTGGTGAAAACATACCTTAATTTAAACTTTAAATTATGTGTTTTAAACTTTAAGAAATTGAAAAATAAAAATGGCCATTTTGCATAGATCAAATGAAAAATATTTATGTTAACAAAATGGTTTAGATTAATTTAATATTTAACTTTATAATAAATTTAATATTTTATTTTAAATAATTATTAATTGCAAAATACGCCATATATATATTTTGTGGGTCCTAAATTTTCTGTGCCCCCTCGTAGCCACCCCCATTTTTCAAACTTGGCCTTATGGCCCGTGAAAATATGTCATGCTGCCCCCAAAGGGTGATATAGCCCACGTTGAGAAATATTGATCTAGTGACATGATTGCTTTCCTTCATGACATTAACATGGTTCTATGGTCACTTCACCAGAAAACATCCACTTGCGTAAAGCCTTCAAAATCATCATCAGAGTCCGAATCAAAGAAAAACTGAATAAAGGCTTTGTTGGATGTTGCAAAAAAATACAAAATATTGTGAAAAAATTTACATGGGTTACACCTCAGGTAGAGTCTAGAAGAATTCAAAATGGCATTGGAAAACAAAAGTTTAGACTCATTCCAAAGCAGTAGAAGGCAATTTCCAGCTTAAAATACAGGAAATAACAGTTGACAAGTATTTATTTATAGCAACTGTCTCAAGGCAATAGAATGTACCTAGAGCAGCAAAAGGAGAGAATTCTATTTTGCCTCCAGCATGGGAAAGGTTAAGGGTCTCTGAAGAATGAAGAAAAAGAAAAAAGAACTTCCTCTGTTGGTGAGTTAACAAATGAGTTAAGTGTATTATCTATGCTATGTGCATCTAATTTTAACGTCCTATCTCAACCTTGACCCAAAATGAAAGAGAGCTAGCATCTTGGGAATCACATCACAAATACTACCAGTTTTTTCTTTTTACACAAGCCCAAAAGCTGAGAAGGAGCTGCTGCTGCTGACAGGTTTATCATCAACACGTGTGTCTAGTGAAAAGTTTTAACATCTGTGACAAAGCCCACACCTTTGGATTTCATCAACGAATCAGTATGAATGTAGGTCTTGACAGGTCATGGAAACAATACTTTCCAACCAGATTTTGTTTGTATATTTGGTGTGGCTGTTTGCTGTCATGTAACTGTTTGTTGGAAGTCATTTTTTTTTTGTAGTATCAAGGTTAGTCTCATCAGTGTTAGGGGTCTTTCTTTGTCTTATAGCGACAGTGTTACCAATATTTAACTTTGGCTAGGAAAGGTGGGATTAAAGACAATGCATGGACGCAATGCAATTTATATTTGATGTAATTAGCACACAGTATAAAATACAAAACAGAATGTAATGATTTCAAAACATAATTGAATTTATTAAGTATTTGATGTACATGCATGTGAACTGAAAATGTTAGACAGAGTTGTGTCTCTTAGACTAGGTAATATTTGTACCTAAGCTCATAAAGAAGAAGTTGATTATTAAACTGTAGAAGAATGAATTGTTGTATGTTTGGAATTGTGTATTGTACAAGTTGGTAAAAGTTAAGAGATTTCAGAGTTTGTACTTGCGTGAATGTTGGTAATGGTCTTTAACGTCTGACTATATGGTCAAGATGGGAGTTTTGAAGATTACATCTTGGCAGCAAGGATAAAGATGAATGAAAAGAAACACGAGGGAGCTTACACGTGTTTTGTTTTTATAAGATCGCGTAATATGTGGGAGGCTCCAACTGAGTTGGTGCCAAAATAGATCTGTTGCGTGGGGGTGATTTGATTGGTCGAAACTGACCAATTAGCAAGCTAGATTGAAGGTGATTAACCAATGAATGCTTGTTAAATATTTTGTAAGATGGTGAAAGTTACACAGAAATAGTGCATTTTCTAGCAGGGGTTAACTGGCTGTTGTGGAAGAATCCACAGTCCTAATGCAGGTCAGCGGTAACTGTGTAAGTTTTGCCATTTTTCTGCACAGTAAAATGTTTATCGTTCCTTTTTATCAATTTATATAGACCCTGGTATGTAGGATGCAATGGCTTCCTGTCAGCATTGTTACATACAAACATGTATACACAGTTAAAGAGATTTTTAGAAATGTACCGTGGTCTCTTTGTCAGATGCGGGAGTAAACTATATTTTGGACATTCTGTATTTTAATTTTTTTTTTTTTTTGAAGGATACTGAATAGAATAATCACACAAAGGTTAGTAATGAATAATAATACTTAGGACAAGAACAACACATATAAGATTCGCCAGTGGTACGTAGAAGTAGTCAATTGCTAGAAGTGAGTCAAGTGAATTCCACAATGAATTTCCAACTGCAGACCAACATACAGTATTTACTACTGTATTTATATGAATGGGGACATACCCATTATCATCTATAGGTATGCTACAACAATTTTATACAAAAGATGATTTTGGCTGTATGTCTTCGTTTTCATTAAAATACTGTCCAGACAAGTTTAGTGTCAAAGACTAATTCAACTTTACAGCCATGTTGCAATGAAAAATAGGTTCCTGTACAATCAGCAGTTAAGCAATGTTCAGCCTGGTCAATAACACAATCGATGACTGCGTGGAAATACCAGGTGCTGTAAGCTTAGATGTGCAGGTGGTGAGCCGAGTTCCAATTCCAGTTGGGTTCATTTTATTCGCTTACATACAAATACCCGTGGGAAGGTTATGAATTCACCTCTTCTCCTTCCAGCTATGGGTTAATTAGTAAGACTTGTTCACTAAAAAAAATTCTTGCAATCTAAAAATATTTTCTGGCTTAAAAAGTTAATAAACCATAGAAAACAGTTTAAGTGTTGTACAGCCTATATCTTGTTTTATAATGTTCCCAACTGCCAAGAGAACTAGGGACAAATTATCAACCCCAACTTTTTTTTTTTTTTTAAGCATTTCACCCCAAGCAAGGTGGGAGTACCACTAGCACGCAAGGGGTTACAGAGATTGGGAGCAAGAGTAAAAAGACGTGATAGAGGAAAGGATGAAGAGAAGGATGGGGAATAGAGCAAGGCATCTGGAGATGTTGATTGACATTGCATTTGAATAGTTGGAGATTATAGCTATCAGGGAAACAGGAAAAGGGAAGGCAGTTCCACAGGCGGGAAGTGTGAGGCATGAAGCTGTTGGAGTAGAAGAGACAGCAATATTTAACCATTTTGACAGTGAAACAGTGGGACGGAGATGCCAACCTAGTAGCACATTTAAATTCATGCAGTTTGGGAACCAGCGAAAGTAGCTCGTCAGAGCAGTTACTGCGAAAGTATTTGTAAAAAAGACAGAGGGAAATGACAGCATGTCTTTGAGAGAGAGATCGCAAATGAGATGCCAGATCAGGGCCAATCACTTTGCATATCCGTCTCTGGATTTTGTCGAGTACCTTAAGGCGAACAGATGGGGCTCCAGACCATATATGGCAGCAGTATTCCATGCAAGGGCAAATGGTTGATTTATACATTTGAAGGATAGACCCGGGCAAGAAAAACTTTCTAGAACAACACAAAGAACCAACTTTCCTTGCAGTAGGTGAAGCTATTGATTCAATGTATTTGTTCTATCTCAGATCAGCGGAGAGTGCTTTTTGTTCGGTCTCAATGTTAGAGATTCTTCAAATGATCTGTGGAACTTTTCCATTACACCATTGGTATAGTATGTTATGCTGTTGTTTGTATACACTTTGTTCCAAGTAGAAGGTCAAATTATCTGAAGAGGTTTGACTAAAATTGTGTACCTCCGTCAGTTAAGATTACAGCAGGTACACTGTATATGGCAATCCGGTTTCTGAGAATTGTTTCTGCGATGATGTCAGCTGAAATATCTCCCAGTGGAATTGCTGTCAATCATCAAGAAAATCAGTTGATGATTGCTAGTAGATATGTCAATTTTTGACAGACTGGTAGAGGTCCCACGATGTTGATATGTAAGTGTGAAAATCAAGCATTGAGATTACTAAAGGGGATTTGGTCTGTCTGTAGACTTTACAATGGTGACAATTTGTTGATTATTATACGAAAGGGCAAACTTATGCAAATGTGGTCTGGAGGTTGAATCCAGTTGATAGCAATACCAGCAATGATGCAAACAAAAATAGAGCACTCATCAAATACTTTGTGCAGCTAGAACCAAATGACTGGTCAAAGTTCCAAGAACTGCTAAAAGAAACATGCATGGCTGAAAGCTACCAAAGAGAAATAGTAAAATTGCCAGAGCCCATTCCAAACTATCTGTACAATTACCAGTCAAATGTCTGGTATTTTGGTTCATCTGAGGCGAAATAAATTTCTACCTAATGACTTTCAGTGTTGTTCTCTTGCTGGGGAAGGAGAATGTAGAAATGGTCGAATATGCATTGTCGCAGTGAAGGTGAGGTGTAAGGCTGAGAAGTGTTTCTCGTAGTGTCACAGTACAGTAATTTTTTTTTTTTTTTTAAATCATATCACCCCTATGCAAGGCAGTAAAGCCACTAAGACATAAAGGGTTAGTGAGTGTGAAAGAATACAAGAAAAGAGAAACATTATTAAGAAGCAAGAACAATAGAAGAGAAATCAAGATCACAGCTGATAACAATTGACCTGACATTTAAATTTTTGAAGATCAAAGTTAGCTAGAAAGCATGGAACCGGAAGAGTGTTCCAAAAGCAAGAAGTGTGAGAAAAGAAACTGTTAGCATAGAACTTAGTTACATCTTACCAATTCAATTGTAAATTGAGGAAACCTTGCTGCCAATCTAATGCTGTGCTTAAATTCTTAAAGTCTAGGTACCATCGCAAAGAGCTTATCTGAACAGTTACAATGAAAGTATTCATAAAATAAGCAAAAGGAATCTACATTACAGTGGCAGGAAAGTGACTGAAGCTGAGATGTCAGGTTAGGACCAATAATATTGCCGATTCTTCTTTGGATTTTATCAAGAAGCTTTAAATATACAACAGGAGCACTGGACCATATACGACAACAATATTGAAAGCATGAATATGTAAGATAGATTTCAGAGAGAAAAACTATCTAGCATGACACAGTGAAGCAATTTTCTTTGCAGAAGACCTAGCAACAGATTCAGTATAATCTTTCCTCTCCATGCCAGCCAAGAACATTAGCCTGAGAAGGTGCACTGAGTCACTCTCATGGAGGTTAGCATCAGCCATGTTGGTGGGAGGCAAGAAGGGATTTTCACTCAAGGGTACTGGTATTATTGTTAGCTGTAAAGATGCTTGCTATATTATTTCTTATAAGGTAGGATTTTGTTCTTTCCCCTGGGCAATTAAGTTGTGACTGAGGATATCATGGGTGATCAAACGTGTATCAGCTTGAGAGAGTGAGTCTGCAACAGTGCTTTGGATATCTTTCATATATTTCATATCAGCAGAGAACTGTAATATAGTCCAGGTAAGAAGCTCCAAGGTGTATCTGTCAGAGTGTGAAGAGAAGGTGTGTGCTAAGGATTTGTGGTTGGTGTAAATTGTAAAGGAAAAGAAAGGAAGACAAGCAGTTTGTAAATATAAAATTCTTTCATATTTGCTGATACAACGGATGCCAGTGGAATGTCTCTGTGTGGGTGAGGTGGGACTATTTTGAATATGGGTAAAGTTGGTAAGTCCTGGAGAGATGCAAAGAAAAGAAGACAAGTGGTTTGCAAATAAGATTCTTTTGTATTTGCTGATACAGCAGATGCGAGCAGAATGTCTCTGTGTAGGGGAGGTGTGGTAAAGTTGTAGGTAAAATTGATAAGTCCTGGAGTTGATGGTGGTGATGACAAGAGAGCCCTGGAGTGGATTAGTATAGCCACAAATCTGACTTTGCTGATAGAGGATGTAAGCGGAATATATGTATGTGAGCATGGTGTGGGTGTTTGGAAGAGAGTGGGTCTCAAGCAGATATGTGGATCAGGTTGGTCGACTGAAATCACGGTGATGATGCCAAGAGCATGCCACGCGTGAACAGCTGGCCGGTTGGCCACATTCTGAACCAGCCATTTATGAGCAGATTTCTTAAAAGCAAATCTAGCAGCTCCTACTCATCCTTCTCCTTTGACTGCAACATTTGAGATTGGCTCCTTTTGTATTTTAGATTCTTATGGAGAAATTTGTTTTCTGGGTCAGATGTGATGCTCAAAGCCCCTGTGCAGAAGACAACTTTTATCTTGGTTTGGTTTTCTTAACACTCACATCTAGCCGGCATGTAGATTGAATCAGAAGAGATCTAATTTGCATTGGAGTAGAACACTGACCAATACAGACTTGCACGATTAAAGAAATGGAAAGGGCCACATCAATTGCAGACAATTAGCCGTGGGCATCAAACGTAATACTTTAGAGTATAAGTCAGGGTCAAAGCGGATATACAAAGTGGGATGGCTAGCAAACTCTTTATATTTCTATGTCGTGTAAAAGGATTAATTCAACACAAACACAATGAAATATTGGTTGAATTAAGTTACATTTCCACAAAGGTGAATTTTTTGTATGCAATCAGTGGCCAAATTTATTCAGAGCACAAAAAAAATTTACTGTTTTTAAATGACCACACTAGGTTGTCTTGTAGGATGTATACAGCTTGCAGGCTGTATTTTAGTGGAGGCCTATATTAGAGCAATGTAAGATGAAAATGTTTTCGCTGCACCAAACTCCTTCTGTGGGTCACTTTACCACTTTGCCAAGATTTATGGTCAGTTATAAAGAATTGATAAACACATTCATTTCTCTAATACTCTGATATCTTTAGCTACCCACATCACAAACATTACAAGTTATTGTTGATATATAGGGATTTTTTTTTTTTTTAATCATTTCACTCCAAGCAGGGCAATAAAGCCACTAGGATGGAAGGGGTTACTGAGTGTTAGAGAATATGAGTAAAACTACTATTAAGGAGAGAGGACAATAAAACAGAAGATAATGATTGACATTACAGGATCTGTCTATATTTCTGAGATGAGGTATTATGTACACTATTTACATTATTTGGACTATTTTCCTCATCTTTGTCGCCATATTTATTACAACGTTTCGGCCGTTGTATGCTTTGGCCTTCTTCAGGTGTTTGGAATGTCAAACTGAACCCTTTATTTCACTCGCTGGGTTAGACTGTTCTAGTTCCACATGCCATGTTTAATGGATGTTAGGACACATGGCACAGTGGATAAAGGCTAGATCCAGTTACAGGACCCAAAGAGTGTGAGTTCAATACCTGGTGAAGGCAGTGGAGAACCTTGGTGAGGGGAATTAACAGGAGATAACTGATAACTGACATCCATCAAACATGGCACATGGAACTAGAACAGCGAAATAAAGGGTTCAGTTTGACATTCCAACCACCTGAAGAAAGCTGGAGCATACAACAGCCAAAATGTCATAAATATGGGGACAAAGATGAGGACAATAGTCTGAATAATGTAAATAGTGATTGACATTATATTTAAATTTTTGAAAATCAAAGTTGAATGGGAAGCTAGAAGAGAGTTCCACAAGCAAAAAGAATGAGAGAAGAAACTGTTAGCATAGAACTTACGGTTGCATCTAACCAATTCAACTGTCAAATGATGAGACCTAGCTGCCAATCTAGTACTGCACTTACATTCATAAAGTCTAGGTACCATAGAGGAAAGTTCACCAGAACAATTACCAGGAAAGTATTTATAGAAAAGGCAAAAGGAAGCTACATTATGGAAGTGGGAAAGAGACTGAAGCTGAGAGGCCAGGTCAGGACCAATAACATTGCAAATTCTTCTGATTTTAAGAAACAAAAAAAAATAAAACAACTAAAGAAATTGACCTACCTCATCTCCAACTTTAAATCTGGTGACTTCTTTGCCCACAGCAGTGACAACACCGGAGAAATCCCGACCTAAAGTGAGGGGAAATTCAGAGCCAGCAAAATGCTTCACCCCTAACTGCCAGCGAATCATATTGATTAGCTTCTCACCATATCCATCTGTAAGACAATAATTAACAAGAGAAATATTAAACAAGTATTAAAATAAATAAGTAATTAAACACACACACTGCAGCGGATGTACCTATATGCCTTTATGAAACTTACATGTTCTGTCTAAATTTCTGGGATGAGGTGTTATTATTCACACTATTTACATTTGGACAATGACAGCAAATCTTCAACAGCAGCAGCAGTCAAGCATGACAGGCAGCAGCAGGTAGGCTAGGTTTAAGGCTCCATGTTTCCCCACAGAGAATCATCCTACAGGAGCATTGGGTCATGAATTTGGTGATATAGTAGGTGTGAGTTCGATCTCTCAGCCAGACAGTGTGTACAGGGTACAATTGGTAAATTGTCCCTATTTTATATCTTTAATTTTGTGCATGCACGTTGTTTTTTATTCTGTCGACTGCAGAGTATAGTAGGGTCAGTTGGGCACTATCTATGAGAAAAAGAGCATCATAACACAATTCACTCTGGCATAAATTTGGAAGTGGCATGGTGTACTGCTTGGCATTTGCGCCAGAAGCTCCAATACAAACATTTCAGTGTGTCTGGGCATCAATCTGAGGACAGTGCAGCGGATTCAAAAAGAGTTGGATGATATAACCCATCAACATCATGGTGCTTGGACTGATCAATAGTGATTGCGAAGTTATGCTTCCATTCATCTTCCCACAGGGCCTTAGACTCAACACAGAGGCCTACATAAAGTGCCTTGAGGATGTAGTGCTGCCCTGGGTCAAGAGAGGTGGGGAGGTCACTGAAGGACGCTATGTCTGGCAACAGGACTTTGCACCACAAGCAGGAGAACCCAGTCATGGCTGTCAGACAATTTCTGCAACCACATCGCATCTTACGTCTGGTCACATAACTCCCCAGACTGCAACCTCCTCAATTATTGTGTGGGGTGCAGTTGAGCAAGAGACCAACAAAACTCCTTGTAATACCAAAGATGAACTGAAAATATAGATTATGGCAGCTTAGTGACAATTTATTGTTGAAGTCAATGGTGAGTTTGAATAAATTTACTCTTTAGTGTTTCAAGGTATTTTTGTGTACTTTTTATAAATATATCTGCTAAAATAAATAGTGTTATTTTCATTTTTGCATAATTTAGATGACAATTTATCTGCCACACCCTGTACTTGGACTATGGAAATGAGCAGGCAATAACAGAGCAGCACAAAAAATAAGAACTAAACGAGATATTCCTAGAATTTTGGGAGTGGAATAAGAACAGTCTATTCCTGTATATTAAATAAAGGGTTTGGTTCAGAATTCTCTGTAGAATGAAATCTGGGAGGCTCAATGACCAAAATATTGTGATTACAACAACAAGGATGAGGATAATAGACCAAATGTGAATAAAACTTAAATTGTTTGCTGTCAATGTATATATACATTTTCAAGGCACTGTGAAATTCACTTAGGCACAAATACCTCTGGGATGAATCCATCTTTTCTCCCCTTCCTCCACAATTTATGGACTGAATATCAGAACAGACTGGGCCTTATAGCCTTGGTTGTCTATATATTAGTTTCTACTGCAGAAAGTAATGGCAGCCTACTGCAGGAAATCTTCTACCTGGTCAGTCATCAATCAATAGAGACATGATCAGCCAAGCATGTATCCTGCATGGCATTTAACCAACTACAAAGGGAGTAGAAAGTTTGTATTTTATTTTGGACTAGCAGTAGAGCCCAGTGTTGCCCGGGGATATAACAGTAAGAGATAAATCAAGTATCGACCATCATAAAGAGTAAAAAATAAAATTGAAAAAGATTATTGTTTAAGGTTGATAGACATGCATGTCTAAATTATTTTTTTTTTTTTTTATGAATTGGTCAAACCCAAACAAAAACATTGTTTTCAATCATTATGAGTCTACTGATTGAATAGAATTTTATTATAAACAATTGTCTTGTAAATGGAATTTTTAAAGCATTCTGAATGTAAAAATAAAGAAAAAAGAGTGCAAGACAATAAGAAACACTACCTGCCAAAAAAAAGTGACATTTTGTTGAAATCGGTTGAAAAATGTAGGAAATCCGATCCCATATATAAATGAACACACACACAAACAACCTGGGTTTTATAATAAGTAAAACTCGATATGAGTTGTCCCCCTTTCATTCTGGCGACAGTGATGCCTCTTAATCGCATTTTCAAATTATTTTCGTCCAAAAACAATTGAGTTTTTCCAATTTTTGGTGCTGTCAGAACCACCGCAAGGTAATTTTACGTAGTTCTGTGAAGTTTTGTTGAAATCGGTTGAAAAATGTAGGAAATCCGATCCAATATATAAACATACAGACACACACAATCTGTGTTTTATAATAAGTAAGATACAAGCAATTGTTAATAGACTTTTATTATTATAGACATATTACAAACAATATTTCAGCCAAGTACCCTCTGGTTCAGAAGGAATAAGCAAGAACTAGCACCACAGGGATGGAAATAACACAATCATGAGATATCCAATATCAGCCCAAAATAATGAAAACCTATCTTTAAATTCTTTGGCAGTGGTTCTGATGTAAATCCTCTCATCAGCCCAATTTTTTTTGTTGTCACTTTTGCCTTATATTTTCCTTTCTACAGTTTGCCTACATTGGACATTTGGCTCTGAATCTATAATTAGTTTGGGTTTTTGCCAATGTTTTTGTATTGTTGTTTTTTAGTACTTTGCTGTTTCTTTTATTATTGCTCAACATTACCCATCCAACCTTTTGCTATCATTCAAATATGAAGGGTATAGAAATAATAAAATGTCGAAACACATATGGGAACTAAAAATGAAAGAGAAAAAAAGTGGGCATAAATAAAATAAAAAAAAAATTCAAGAAAACCACAGGAACAAATTTCAATCTATGTACAGAGGCATGAACAGATTAATAATAATAAAAAGAATGAGATTATTTCAAACTGTCAGCACACAGATGCATTCCTTTTGAAAAGCATAAAAAAGAACTGTAAAAGGCATTAAACCCTTTTACCAGACATGCGTGCATGGAAAACCCTATCAGCAAAAGTAATTTCAACTTTTAGGCATGAATAAGGATAAATGGAGAGAATGCATGCTTTGAACTTTAAGAGGATAGTTTTCTTTTATTTCAGGCCGAGGTCATGAGAGGATACTAACATTAGCGCTCTGTGTAATAGACACGCATTGTCATAGATGTAGAAGTCAAAATGTAGAAGGAAAATGAGAAACAAAAAAAAAAAGTCACTTGTACTTAGAATCAGAAAGAGACAGTTGAAATCTCTGGTACACATAATGAGGAAAGAGGACTTGGAGAAATTGACACTCACAAGGCATAATGTCGGCAAAGTACAGAGGAAAAGAGCAAGTAAACGACCTAACAAGTTTGCATAAATGGATGGCAGGACAGAGAGTGTGATAAATAGTAAGGGGAAAAATATTTTTTCAAGTTATGACGGCGGGACAATATTCTACAATGGACAATGCACATCAGTCACTCAATAATTCCCTAGCAGAGTAAGTTCATTTATTCCTTCATTATTTACAGACTCTTAAGAACATTTCTTGAGATTTTCTCTACACAAAAGATGTTCCCAATAGAATAAATATTTCTATCTTGTTTTGTTTCACACTTTTGTTAATTTTCTCAACAGTTTTTGTTCAACATATGACCCTTGACCTAGTAGCAACAGTTTGGGGATCACAAGGTCAGCTGTGGGTTTCTTAACATTATAAACTATAGATAGTAGCATGCAGAAGGGAGGCAGAGGGTGCGATAGCCCGAGGCCATCCGATCAAAGAGTCAAATAAAAATTTAGTTTATATTTAATTCAAATAAAGTGTTTATTTCATGTTTCATCAGTTTTTAGATATTCAAAATATTATCCTTCCTTATATTTCTCAGTATTAGGCACTCGTAGGCCTCCCCACTTGAGTCTAAAAGGCATACAAACAAGGAATTAACCTCAGGCATTACCAAACTTCTGCAAGTCACCAACTATACAGCACAGGAATGTCTAAGAGAAACAAATAAATATTTTGAAAATTGCACAGCGTGAAACAAGCTGTTAATGTGTAAATAATCTCTTTCTTTTTTAATTTTTAAGTGTATTAAAAGGTTCTTTTTAAAAAGATACTTAAAATAAAATAGAGCACTCTTATATAAATAAGAGAAAGAATATCCAAATACAGAATTTGTATATTCTTTTTCCAAATTAAAAAAAAAGAAAAAAAAGAGTAAAAAAAAATATTAATAAACAGAAAAAAAAACTGTTAGAAACAAAGAAAAAAGTGTAAAAATGATATGATCTACCAATTCTACTCTATGGCAGTGAATGTTAGACAATTTCCTACCGGATGAAGAAGAGACTTGATGCAACAGAAACATAGCTTGACAGAAGGATGCTGAGAATACCATTGACAGAGGAAGTTTTAAGGAAAATGAGAAACAAAAAAAAAGTCACTTGTACTTAGAATCAGAAAGAGACAGTTGAAATCTCTGGTATACATGATGAGGAAAAAGGACTTGGAGAAATTGACACTCGCAAGGCATACTGAAAACAAAGTGCAGAGAAAAAAGAGCAAATAAAGGACCTAACAAGTTTACATAAATGTATGGCATGACAGAGAGTGGAATAAATAGTAAGGGGACAAATATTGTTTCACCTTATGAAAGAGAGGACACTGTGGTGAGCCATGATTTGACACATTAAGAAGGGGCACAGATTATAGAACAAGAAATTATTTATTAAAAATAAGACCTGAATGTTTTCAGATGTACAGCCTTGTCAACAATCTTTTTTTTTTCTTAAAGGTAGATTCTGACAAGTTTAAAGTTGTACAAACAATTTAGAATCAAAAAAGGTTAAGGAAATCTTAGGGTTACAGTACACAGAGTTATTTTTTTTTTTTAATCACATGCTATCTTGGTTAAACTTCCGAGTACACAGTGTTTGCTTCACTTGTATGAACATGTAATAATGGACGTGCAGAATTAATTTCAACTTCACTTTCCACAATGCAAATGAGTCCAAACTTTTATTGTTGATAACTCCAAAACAGTAGATTTTATCAAAACTTCTTTGTTATTTTCAAATAAAGCATGCACATTTACTGTGACACCTAAACAGAACTATTCGGGAAATTTTTTTATTAAAACCTGTGTGCGGGTCTTGAACTGCAAATTAACCTTTTGACGTCCAAAGTCAAAATTCTGTCACCCTAGTGGAGTGGTTCGGTGACTAATTGGCACGAAGAAAAATTTAAAGTTAAATAATCATTGATTTTTTTTTTTTTTTTGTGATGTCATAAAATAATGCTTGACACACAATATAACCCCTTCTTGTGTATTGTCCATTTTAGTGCACAAAATGTTTTTTTTTTCAAATGAGATACTGAATTACTCTGCTAAGATTACCTTACATAACAGCAGAGGAATTTGGGGGTGGGTGCTACAGTCAGTTTTGGTTTCAAATGATTTCTACATATCATTAGTTCTCTTTCTAATATTGAATATAAACTTTTTGACTGAGATTCATAAACCCTTCATTTGGAAATGAAATCATACATTCAAAATAAAACAAAAAATAGCATTAAATCACTAAACTCCACACCCCCGCCCTCTTAATAAAAGAAGACGTTAACATTTGTGACTCATCAGAAGTTTCAGAATTTCAGAAAAAAACCGTCCTTTTGACACTACGTCTTATTGCGGGCACGTTTGTCCATGTTTGCCAAAAGATTGGATTACATCAGTGTTTGGTGAAAAAATAAAAACAAAGAACGCTAAAACAGAATATATACTTTTTTTACTCCGTAAACAATAATTCAAAGAAGAAAGAAATATAATAGCACTTCTCTGACCAATAAGTTTGCAAGACGAAAATAATTAGAAATTAAAATAAAGTCAACCGGCTCAACCCTCCTTTCTGGATCTGAAAAGCTTTGCATTCATTAGAAATAAAAACAAAAATTGAGTCTGGAATGCAATATTTTATCGTTTTAACAACTACTAATCTCCGTGAAAAAAAAATTATTGCTTATTCAATATTGGTCCTCTATAATTTTCCTTTTCGGTTTTAAAACAATTGCTGTCCTAATAAGAATATGTGCTGAAGGTACCTAAAGTAAAAAAACAAACCAATGAGACGATGTGTCAGGAAGTAATTCAGTATTTGGTTTCTATTCCGGGCATTAAAATGGAAAGTAACCATACAACTTCGTTTATATAGTCTGCGAGCAGTTGTTCCTACACAGAGAAAATGTCTCATTCATTAAGAGAAAAAAAAATTAATGTTTTTTTTTGTTTTTTTTTATTAATATTATTATTATTATTTGTCGTTAAGGTTTGGAGAGTAAGTAACAGTCAGAGGATTTTTTTTTTTTTTTAATATCTACCTTTGGCACCTTTCAACAAAAATGTTTACATTTTTTTTTTTCAAGGAACGAACAAACAAAATAATGCGTTGATAATTTTTTTGTTGGTAACGAGACCTCAGGCCTGATGAGTTGTTGTGAATATGAACAATATTGTTACAATAGTAACAAAAAAAAATGACCATTGTAAAACATTTAGTAAATTAAATTAAAAATCCTTTACCCTTCATCATAACGTCAATAGGGTTAACGCTTGAGGCATGAACTTCAACCAAAACATCACCTGGGTCATCAATCGATGGAATTCGCATTGTCTTGGAGAGTGTTAAATCGTCTTTGTATGAATAAATCTGCCATGCCGACATACGATTGCGAAAATCCGGTTGAGGTTGTCCTTCACTAAATAATCGACATTGCTGGAATCTGGACTTAACTGAAGAGACTCCAAGAAAGGTTGTCTTTGTTGTCAAACAAGCACCAGGACATGTGCCGCCCCTTAAATAACCAAACAACCTCAGGTAGGAACAGTTGGGAAGCTTCATTTTGATTCAAATACAAGGTCCGTTTAGCTAATTTGCCCTTATTTTAAATATTCTCCCCTCTTATGAGAAGTTGAAGGCTTAAAAAAAAAGCCGAACGTTTATCACAGGCGAAAACTAATCAAAACAACATATTGACTTTCATGTCCTTAAATTACGTAAAGCCGGTGTCGAGCGAATATGTTTCCTTATTTAACAATCATCCGGGAAACTCTTTTACAGTTTACAATGCAAATATAATTAACTCTTTTTATATCTATCACGTAGATATAAATATATGTTGACGTATATATTGAAATGTATAAACTTCGTGAAAAATATATATTTTTATTAGTGGATTATTTGTACCTACATAGTTTTTTTTTTTTTTTTTATTTTATTTAATTTTCTTTGTTTTACACCGGCGGTGTAGGTTTTATGAAGGTCAGATTTAGATCTAGCGTGCTTGATTTATCAAGTTTTGTTGCCGTGAGACAGAAATGCTGTCGTTATCTTTGAAAGAGGTATTGTAAAAATTCTGATTTTAAGTAAAGGATTTGTTTAATTTTATAAGATTTTCTGGATTATAATGACATTGATGTTTGTCATTTTAAACTTCTTTACTTTCTTTAAGCGACATAATTTTTTAAATATTTTTTTAGCGGCGATTACATCATTGTTTAAATATTTTTTTTAGAATATTCAATCAAAAGCTTTTTAAAACCGTTAAAGAATAGTTTCAATTTTTGGCGACTGAAAGAGATACTCTTTTTAGTCTTTATCATTTAATTTGGCTATATGAAATTTTAAGAAAAAGGATATTTACTTATTTATTTTTATTTTTTACACATTTTATTTTCTTCAATAGGTTTTGTAACCTTTTTTTATTAAGTTTGAACACAAATATTAAAAGAAAAAAATGAGACAAGATTGTTTCAACCTCCAGTTGTGCCTCTTCAAAAATCATAATCAAACAAATCAAAATTTATTTTTTTATGACTATTTTTTTTTATCTAGAAAGAAAAATGCTGAACTTTATTATTATTATTATTATTTTATGATTTTTTATTAAAAAATTAGGTGAACATTAGTTTACTTTTTAGCACCTGTAATATTTGGAAAGGTCATTCATTAAAGCACTCATTGAACCTTGGTAGTTGTAATGCAAACCTAGGAATGAAACCGTAGTAATTTTCACTAGGTGCAGGAGAATGTAAATTTAACGCTCAAAATTTGTTTTATTTCTTTCACAAGTTAAATTTAATTGAAATATTCTGTTTGTCTTTATTTTTTTCGGAAAGGTTAATGTACTAAAAATAGAGGTATTTTTTATCCCGAAATGAAAGCAAAAATAATCGCTACATCATTTTTTAAATAAATTGCTAAAAATCAGGAAATTTTACAATTCAAACGAAATTTTCAGTATCTTATTCATTAATGAATGAATTGTATACTGAGGTTATTTTATTAGAAAACCATTCAGTTAGAAATATTTAGGGTTGTACGTTACCTCTTGGGAATAGCAAGTGCACTAAGCGTGCATGTGCGGATGGTGTAGGATAATGGCTCAGATTTGTTATTAATCGGTTTCGTAATGTTTGCTCGTAAGTAAATGTGTAACAACTTACACGCAAACACCCTCGGGAAAGATATGAATTCTCCTCTTCTCCCCACCCCATGTATGGGTTTGTTAATTAGTAACACTCGTTTCACTAAAAAAATAGATCATTATCTCAAAAAATTTTTTACATTCTAACTAAAAATATTTTCTGGCTTTAAATAACCTTCAAATGGCTGAAGCATTAAGAAACGAATCAATGAATCAGGGGGCTGTACGCAGGGGTTTTTCGTCAATTATATGATGAAAAATCCCTGAATATGTTATTTCAGTTAAAATTTTGTCCAATATCATACATTAACATACTTGTTATATAGGAATATAAAGTGTCGCTGCTGACACTTGAGTTTGAACACAGATCACCAGTGAGCAAACACTGGTGATCCCATTATTGAATTAATTAGATCACGTGACCATAGAGGAAATGCATGTATAGGAAGTCGCATGGCGTCTAGATTGATCTGAAATTCTAGTCTATCCTGTTTCTATTCACTATACCTCTATTCAGATCACTATTGTGATTACTATTTCAAAACAAGTACTAGTTATATTAAGGTGTCTGACACCAACTATAGTTGTATCTGCAACTACAAAGGCTCTACTACAATGAGCATTACAATGTTGACATTACAAAGTGTTAAATGAGTGTTCATTGACATCACAAAAATACTGAAAATTTCATCTTGAACTTTACCAAAAATATTCAATAAACTCAAAAAATGAATGTTTTTCAGTGCAATTTTGAAATTCGCCCTGTTGCTGTTTGTAAAAAAAGTTTGTTTCATTTTAAAGTCATATTTGAATAATTTAAAAATGTAAAGTTTAATGCCATTCTTGAATGGAAACACTTTTTAAAAGATTTTTTTTACAGTTTAAAAACTGTTAGATTATTTTTTATATGCTTATTCAAAAAAGAAAATAATTCTGAATTACTGCCTTTGACTGGTTACTCTTCCCTATTGGAATCATAATACGATAATTCATTAACTCATAAATTAGGAATAATTAAAAGACCTCATTGGGTTGCAATTAAATATTTTATGATATCAAACAAGTAAGAAAATAATCAAAAAATAAGAACAAAGAAACTCTAAAGTATAATTTCACTAACTTTTAATTAATTTTTTTATGCCATATATGTATGCATACAAGATGATCTTTTAACCATAAATCCCCACAAAAATAGGAATTCATCTTATACTCTGCATATAAAAATTGAACATTAAATCCTGTGGATTATTGTAAGTTGTTAGCATGGGAGATGTTTTATGATAGCCTAACCTCTGTGTCACCTCTTTTTTTTCTGATCTTGAACAAAAACACAACTGGATGTGTTTTAAATGTGCTTGGTCTCAACAAGCCATTTAAAGATTGCATTCGAGAACAGTGGAACAAATAGATCGTTAGCAAGGCAGTCATTCACACTACTATAATAGGCTACCAAAAATACAGCACCTACTCATGAGGTCTTGTAGATTGTGGTAGTTAATTGACTATATCTCCCTACCTTTTTTTCATTAGAATTAGTGAAAAAAAAAGGATATGCTTACTGAATTTATTTAATAAATTCATTGCATTTTAAAATATGATTGGGGCAAGTCATCTTGTTCGGCAGATATAGCCCAAAACCAACAAAATTTGAACTTGAAAAATTTAGTGGTTGTCTTATACACCGTCTACACCAGCATAGATGGTACTTATGATGTACAATAAAAAAATGATTTATTCATTCTAAGTTTCATAAACATGTACAGAATAAAAAAAATGATATCTTTAAACTATTGATTTTATATGGTTAAAAATAGTTGATTTTAAATCATAAATACCAATTTGTTAATTATTGTACTGTTAGTTTTCATATTTGATTCTCTTTTTTTTTTTTTTAATCTTTCGTGGGTTTTTGAATTCAGGTATTAATTCAAAAACAACTTTAACATCAAAGGCTACCATGCATAAATAAATGTTATTTTCCATTGTTCTAACCAAAAAGTAAGCATTACTTTTACTAAATCCAGTTAATCTTAAATTTACTTTAAAATTATTGGATACTTAAGAGATTTTAAATTTGTTGCTTACATTTATTTGTCAATAATGTCAGTTCAATGAATAACAAGTGAACATGCCAATGTTTTAGAAATGCCTAAAATCTTTTTTTTTTTTTTATTAATATTCACCCAATACAAGGCTCAAGAACCACTCAAGGGAGTGGATTATTGTGGAGAGTTATATTAATGTAGGAAAGGACTAGAGTTGGGAGTATAGATCTGAAGCAGATTTCAGAGGTAACCGGAAACCAAATCCTAAACAGAAAACAAGGAATACCCTACTGTCCAAAAGACTGAGGAGCGGTGTAAATCGGGCGATAGGTCAAGCTATCTACTTCTATTGGTAGAAGAGAAAAAAATAAAATAAAATAAATAGTTAATGAATAGAATTTCAGAGTTCAGGTGCATACATTAGGAATAAATTCTGAAATGAGAATAATTTAAAAAAAAAAAAAATGTCCCATTGGCTGCAATTAAATATTTTCTGGCATTTTCAGAAAGCTCAGAATATGATTGCAAAAAAACAAAAAAACAAAAAAAACCCTTCATATAACAGACCCAGAAATTGTACAGCTGAGGGTTCCCCAGAAATGTAGTTAACGTTATTATTAATAACTTTGAGAATATTTTTAGTAAGCAAACTGTTAGTGATATCCAATATTTAGTTAATTAGTAACTCCATTTACTAACAGTTAATTAATAACTCTGCTAATTAATAAATGATTTCTGCTTTTATGAAAAAAAAAAAGCACTCTTTTGAAAGAAGCATATAAATACTTTAGGCATGGTGCCAAACTTGATTAGAAATATCTAAATTGTCACCTTGTATACAACCGTGTTCTCAGATCAATGGTTAAAAATGGCTTCAAGTGAATGAATGAATGAATCCTGTAGGTCTCAGCAAGGACTATCCTTCTTTGGACCCCCATGGACTGGTGCTACAGATCACAAAAAAAGAACTGTACAAGAATGATGACGTAATCAAGATGTTGACATTCCACACTACTTCAAACAAAAAGTTAGGAAGGAAACCTCTGTCAATACTGGAAAGAATAATTACAGTGAACTTGACAAACCTATTTTCCTGAAAAATTATTTTAAGACAAAGATTTTATAAATTTCAACTAAGAGGCGCATTAGCCATTTGGTCAATAAATGCCAAATGTTTTCTTCTAATATTAGAGATTAGAACAGATACTACATTTTGATCCCATCCCAATGTCTGAGTAGTGAAGAAAAGTGTAACTCAAGTAGCACAGGCTACTTGGTCAATGATGATTTTTTTTTTTTTTTACTAATGTTTAAAACTTTAACCCCCAAATATACCCTTTTAAAGGAAAGCGCCCAAGAAATTAAGTGAAACCTTTCTCAGGAGGATTTTTTATCGTATCTTCTTCCTTTTAACATTTCGCCTTCACCACTTACCCATCCATATCTAAAACATAAGTCAGGTGAAACATTTGTTAGCCCACACCAAGTGTGGTTAGGGATAAAGAATTGAAAATGGTACATCTAACTCACTCATATCTTCTCCCCCTCACTTCCTCAATTTGCATATGCTTAATACGGCCAGTCAAAAATGTGTAAATTTCTTTTTTCATTTTTCATTTCAACCTTTTGAAGTAAAGTCTGATGATCCAGAGCCCTTTAAAAGGGCTGTGGTGAAATAATTTATTACATGGAACCTTAAAGTGGTCTGTTTTTTTATTCAAACATATTTGCTCTGAATTTACATTGAGCTCTCACCCATACAGATTACCTAGTTTTGCATAAACTAATATATATATATATATATATATATATTATACTCGACTCTCCCATCAAATACGACGTATGAGGGTCAAGCAGATCAGTTCCTAGGAAACCAACAACAGCACATGAGATTTGATTATAGTGGTGAAAGTTTCGTGCAGGACCATCCACACTTTTGGCCTAATACAGAGACCTGGTGCACAACATGCCCCAAACAACCCTCCGCAGGTTTTTGACTTCAGGGTTGCCCTTCTCCTTGACCAGTTGCCATAGAACCCAGTCTGTCCTGCTATTTACCCATAGCTGGAGGGAGAAGAAGAGGATTCGCACCTTCCCAAGGGTATTAGCACATAAGTGAATGTAATGGATTCAACTGAATTCAAATATTCCTCAATCCAAGCTGCTATCCATTACCCACCATGCCTCCTACATGTGTGTGTATATATATATATATATATATATATATATATATATATATATATACACACACACACACACGCACACATTAAGTTTTAACTTAGTATAAGTTCAAATATCCTCAATCAAAATAAACTTGAGCAGAGAATTAACATTATTGGAACTTTGTCTTTTTTCACAAAAAAATAAAAATGTACAAGAAACATGTCAACATATACATTCAAATAAGTTCAAATTTTGGTCAGACTGTTTAGGCGAGCAAAATATAATTACAAACCAATTTATATGTTTCATTTCTTTCTATGTGCTGTGTCCTTTCAGGACGCAGGCGATCATGGCTCTCCACTTCTTCCTGTCACTTGTACCTCTCAACAAGTTCCTTCCCTCTGCTTCCTCCCCTAGACCATGTCCTATCATCCGCTTGCTTAAGTCCGCCAAGTATGACGTGTTGCTTTCCCTTGTTACTCTTTCCCTCTATTCGACCCGTGAGTATCAGATTCTCCAGGCCCTCCTTCCTCATTATGTGTTCCAGAAACCTCGGCTACCTTTTCCTGATGTTAAGTATAAGCCTCCAGCTTGTTTGCATCCTCTCTAAGAACTCATCATTGCTCACACGTTCGATCCGAGATATCCTTAACATCCTTCTGTAGAACCACATCTCCATCGCCTTGAGTCTCTTCTTCATCTTTGAGGAAATCGTCCAACATTCACTGCTGTAAAGAAGAACAGATATCACATAACAACTCAGCATTCTTTTCAAAAATGAATAGAATTAAATAAATCAAGTACTATTGCAAGGAGTAGATACAAATTATTTCCTAAAGGCATTATGAAAAATAAAAAATAAGAGATGATAACACTTACAGAACAGACCAACCAGTTTCGTTCCCAAGCTCATCAGGGTCGACTGGGAACAATTTAACAATTATTGCAATATGTATTAACTCACACAAACACCATACATACAATTAAAATAAAAAATGAAATGAATTAATAGCATGATGGAAAGGGAAAAAAAAAAAAAATGTATATTTCAAACCGCGCAAAAATGCACAGAACAAAGGAGAAAAAAAAAAATGGGTAGTGTGAGGGGAATGTATGATAAAAACTAGAGTCTAATAATGTGAAGCCCAAGGAGACAGTCTTTTTGCTTGCAAAGAGACGGCTCCCTGGACCGAATATACAGAGACTCAAGTGCCCTCAAATGAAATGGAGAGTGCGAACTGGACAGTACAGTAAACCAATTTGGACTGAAGTTTTTCACACAATCCCTGCAATTTATTAAATGTTCAGTGTGCGCTGACCCGAAGTATTAACCAACTGGCTCTTAGGAGCATCCGGATTAGGAACTCGCAATGGGACATGCTGCCTGATCCTACAATCTAAACGTTGGGAAGTCCTTCCTATGTAGCTGCTATCGCAACCATATTTAAAAGAATAAATCACGAAAGAAACATGATGGGGAGGAAGAGGATCCTTACGGATAGAGGAAAAGGCAGAACGACTCGCAAAATGAATTCTTAGTTGAGCAGAGAAATAGCAGTGATGGATAGCAGACAAGTACTGAATAAACAAAATAAAATAAGGCAACAATATGAGAAAATTTCTCTCTCCACTCCCACTACTGGATTTTGTCCGCATAACCCAAATAGTATTCTAAAGATGCTTTGTCCAAATTTCACTCCACTAACCATTATTTTTCTTTCTTTTTCTATCAATCCCACCCTTAAAAAACAAATTCCTTTTTTGTTCGATCACCAATATTTTAATTTTAATATACAACAAATATGGTGAGATAGACATGCAAATAAGTCCAAATTTTGCTCAGATTTCTTAGGCTAGCAAAAGATGATTCAGTCAGTTATGTGCCATGCATTATACACGCTTAGGCGATCATGTATCTTTCGATACATGACTGACAAAGCAGATATTTTTCCCGCAGTAGGTTGCCATTTCTTTCTGAGGTAGACAAGTTGTCATCCAAGGCTATAGAAATCAGTCTGTCCTGCTATTTATCCATAGCTGGGAGGAGAAGAAGAAGATTTATACATTTCCCGAGGGTATTATCACATAAGTGAATGTAATGGATTCAACTGGAATTTTAAACTCATCTCTCCGATTCCTCAATCCAAGCCACTATCCATTACTCCACAATATTCACCTATTCAAATACTGTATGCTTCATTATAAAGAAGGAAATTGAAAACACAGATGAGAAATGTGTTGTAGAATAGTTTTCACAGTGGAGGCATGTATTTCAATAAGTCATCCTAAATTAGGTTCGACATACAAAAATGTTAGGAACTTGAAATAATAGTTAATGATGCAGAAATCTAGTTGTGGGGCTCATACTTTAATGTCCGACATCAACTGACTCACACAACTCCACTGAGCCCAACTGACAACCGCCACTACTACTACTACTTATTATGTGTGAGAGAGTCTATTACAATAGAATAGGTAATGTTCTGGTATAACAACCATATTCCACCTCATTTAGACAAAGATACAGAAATGCACATTGCATTCTTTACTTCCAACTTGAGCAACATCCACTGTGATGGCTTTGCTTTTAGCTTACAGCCAAGGAGTGCCTACCATGTGACTGAAAGTCTTTAAAGAGAGTATGGAAAAGTTAGACGTATGTCTGGCTTCACTGTTGTGTGTGGGGGGGGGAGGTATTGCTGTCATATTTGGGCTGGTGCTACCCAGTGCTTATGTTCCAGACTCGACAGAGTGCAAAAATATTTGCACAATGTTATGGGCAATGAATTATTTTCAGTTCTACAACCACTTCCCCACTGACAAAATGTTGCAAGCCTATTGTTATTTCCATGGCAAATGTTCATATGACGACCAACCCTTCAGTATGCCCTTCGTGTCAATTTATTTGCAAATTCTATGCAGAATTGTTGTCTCATACGAAACATAAACATAAAAAACTAAACTGACTCTCGTACGTCAAAAAACGATGGGAGAGAAGACTTTAAGAAGGCAAGATAACAATTGACATTGCATTTAAATTTTTGAAGATCAAAATTTACCGTAAGAGAGTTCCATACAAGAGAAGTGCAAGAAAAAAAAAACTGTTAGCATCAGGAGGGAAAAAAAAAATGTAAACTAATTCACATTCTCTAGGACACATGGCACAGTGGATAAAGGCGTTGGTTAGATTCAGTGACAAGACCCAAAGAGTGTGAGTTCAATACCCAGTTAAGGCAGTGGAGAACTTTCAGAGGGGAATTAACAGGAGATAACTGACATCCATCAAACATGGCACGTGGAACTAGAACAGTCTACCCCAGTGAGTGAAATAAAGGGTTCAGTTTGACATTCCAACCACCTGAAGAAGGCCGGAGCATACAACGGCCGAAACGTTGTGATAAATATGGCGACAAAGATGAGGACAATAGTCCTGATAATGTAAATAATGTACATAATACCTCATCTCAGAAATATAGACAGACTAATTCACATTCTGTTTTAATTACATTAAAATTTTTAAATTATTTCTTTCGTACCACCACAATTTGCATATTTCACTTAATTTTAAAAAGTCTTTTCAATCTCTTTCAGGTTCTGACCAGAATAAAAAATGGACAGCTATCATCATGTGAAGTCTTTGAAAAGTGCGTGCATCGAGCAAAAAAGTTAAGAGATTTGAATTTTTTCATCACTGAAACATTTGACAATGGAACCGAGAAAACCTCACATAAAATGAAATCCCAAAAGGATGGTACGACTTCTTTTAGTTCCTAACCATAATGCAACCTTTCATTAAATTCTGCTAACCTATTGTCAACTGATTGTTATCATATTTTAGCCCTGTTCTGTCAGTAAAACTTGCATTGAATCATGGCCATTGACAATACCTTTCTTCCTGATTATCAAAACATTTCTGTTATGAAATAATTAGTGATACATTTACATTATACATATAATAGCACTATTCTGTCAATAATGCTTGCATTTATTTCTGACCACTGACAATCCTTTTCTACCCTAATTTTAAATGCATTCCTATAGAAAAAGCATTATCAATGAATTTACATTTTTTATTTATATATATATACCGAGGTATAACTAACTTGAAACTAACTAACGTTTTGCTCGTTTGCTGTCATAAAGTGTTCATTTGGAAGAGTAGGCGTTCATTTCAGGTTTGCGAGAAGGCGTTCGTTTCTGGTTTGCGAGAAGGCGTTCGTTTCAGGTTCGCAAGAAGGAGTATTTTTGGGGTTTTTTCCCCGTTTTCTGACACAGTTTTTGGACTGTTTTAGGGTTAGCGAACTGAACTTTACGTTTGTTTTTTTCATATTGCCAGGCAAATCGAATCTGCTTCCAGGAATTCCATTTGCTGTCAAAGACAACTTCTGCACTCGGAACATTCGGACCACTTGTGCATCTAACATGTTGAAAAATTACATTCCTCCGTACAATGCCACAGTTGTCCAGAGGTTGCTTGATCAGGGTGCGCAAATTATCGGCAAGACTAACATGGATGAATTTGCCATGGGGTAAGTTGGCGTTTCCATATCTTCTCTTCAGAACTAGTTTTAAATTTAGAACCAACAGCCTGTTTCTCACCAGCACACAATTATTTATTGGTATCCAACTTGTTTAGAAATGTCTGAACTATCATCTATATAAAACTGTTTGCTCAAATCTATATAATACTAAAGCTCTAATCTTGTATGTATGCATGTTCTCAAAATACAGCTTAACACATAATATCTGAACCAATTAAGGAGGATATTGTACCTTGAACCCGTGCCAACTGCAGTGCCAAATTTCATATACATTAAACAAGGGATCTTGAGCTAGGGCTGTTTTTACTTTTTGTACATTTTTAATCGGAAATTCAGTATTTTTTTTTTTCAGTACGTATTCTTATACCAATCCATGTCTGTAAACAAACTCTCACATATTATATTCAAACTATAATGTGTGAAAAATAATAAACATTTGTAATACATTATAACAAGATTATTAAATAAATTTAAATATACATAATGCAACATACATTTAAACAATTCGCTATACTGTATCTTGGATGTTTGGCAACAATTTAGTAGGTGAAAATGCTATGTGGATGTGTTATTGTAAAATGTAATCTGTATGGCTGGAAAATTGTGTCACATGACTTGATGGTAAATAGATGCATGCTGGTTTGCTGCCATTACATATTTTGAAATGAAATTGAAAACAAAGAAAGTCCCACTTCATTTTTTTTACTTCTCGTCTCATTAAGAAAGGACACGGTGGTGTCTGAAAATTCTGATTTTTAACATCTTTCTCCTTCTGCATCTATTTGGTCAAAAGGCCGAATAATGTACAATGAATATTATGAGTCTTACCAATATTATTATTATTTTTGTCTTTTGAATTTTATTCATCGGACTATTAGGATGTCTCAATGTATTTTTCTATAAATACTTTCATGGCAATTGTTTGAATAAGCTCTTATTTGTTTTGTTTTCATATTGTAAATACTCATTGGGCCTAGTTTTTTTTTAAATTGCTATTTTATTTCCCTCCACCCACAGACAATGAATTGTACATATGGGTACTAGTTAGGGTTTTCATAGAGACAATGAGGTATTATGGTGAATGTATTAAGAAAGGTAAGTAAGAATGCATTGTTTTGGTGTTAGGAATATTGTTGTATGCTTGGCTCAGTGATCATGGCTAGCTGAGTTTAAAGTTAAGACAGAAGAAGACTGTCCTCCCCCCCCATTCCCCTTTTTTGGCCTTGTGCCATTTTTGTATTTTCAATTTTCAATTAATGTTTCTGTTCTTAAAAATATTTTCTAACTTTAAATAAACTGGAAAGGGTTGATAAACCATAAAAAACTGCTATGATACCAAAAGTTTTGTTTTTTGTTTTTAATATAAGCACAGCACTGGACTGGCATTGATATCTCATCAATTTACAGTTGAACTGGCTCGATGTAGCCGTAAATTCTATGCTAACAGTTTCTTCTCTCGTACTTCTCGCTTGTGGAACTCCCTCCCACAGCCATGCTTTCCAGCCAACTTTAATCTGCAAAAATTTAAATGCAATGTCACTCGCTATCTACTGCCCTCTTGATTATTCTCGTCTCTTTCTGCTCATCATTAATGTTTCTGTTCTTAATTCTTCCAACCTTGTAATCCATTTTGTTTTAGTGGCATTACTGCCTTGCTTGGAGTGATACCGATTTAAAAAAAAAAAAAACAAAAAAAAAAACGAAAAACAATGATGTAAATGATGATGGGTATGTTTTTGTTGACTTTTTTCACAGATCTACCAGCATTGACAGTGTTTTTGGACCTGTGCGAAACCCTTGGAAATATAACTTCTTGCAGACTTCATATCCAGTTCCCAGTGAATGCCAAAAGACTAAAGTCCATCAAACAGTTGGTTCCACAGACGATTCCTGTTCTTCCCAAAAATCTTATTCGCGAAATTTTTCCACTGCTGTCAGCAATATTTCAGAACGTTTATCAAATTGCACAAAGAACGATAATGGACAGCATCAGGAGTGCAGTTTGAATTCAGATTGGTTCATCTCTGGTGGAAGTTCTGGAGGAAGTGCAGTTGCTGTTGCAGCTGGAACCTGCTATGGGTAAAATGTTCGGCTTATTGATATTCATGAAAATATATTTATATAAAAAAATAAAATCACATACCAAGTAAGATGCTTAACCGGTTTGGCATTGGTTAGGGCTTCAAATACTTTGCCGGAAAGAGTTAAGAGACTAATAGGGTGATAAGTTAAGGGGTCAGAGTGTTCCCCAGAGTTCTTAAAAACAAGAACTCTAGCAGAGGACTTTCAAACAAACTGGAAAGCAGGCCACAGCAAGGCATTTGTTGTAAAGTCTGGAGAGAACAGAAGACAGTTCATGATAAATAAATAAAAACAGCATCTACTCAAATTTGAGTATCCATTAAAAATAACTTAAAAATATATAAATAAAGTAAATTAATAAATCAAAAATGTTATAAATATAAAATAATAAAGATAAAATCATATATATATATATATATATATATGTATGTATGTATATGTAAGTGTAAGCGTTCTCATAGCAAATTTGTCGCAGATTACTTTCACAACAACACAAAGAAAAATCACCAAGTACAGACTCGAGTATCGGGGGCAGAAAGAAATGCTGAAAACTAGATTTGCCGGTAGTATCTTAAATCACAATGCGTGTAACCAGTCAGGAAAATAACTCACTCTCCAACAAACGCCGTAGCCAAAAATGCCCGAATTTTCCTTCCGCTATCATATGTCTAAGGGGAGCATCATTTGTTGTATCATCCCAGCCGGAAGTGACAGCAGTCACCCTACGTTTAATAAATGCAGTTGTAATGCGGATCCACTCGCCCACGGGAAAATGTCCCACCAGCTTTCCACATAACGAAAACACGCTGCGTTGGGTCATGTGTTTGGGAATGTCCGGGAGCTCACTTCCACGTTTCCAGTAAAGCATGTTGCACTTACACTTACAATATATAGTACAGTTAATCGATCCATTAGTATATAATCTGGGTGGATCCTAGTAATAATGATTATTAAAATTGATCCACAGAGATCTCAATGTTTTTATTTTAACAGGGCATATGTATGTTTCACAGCAACTAATTTACATTAACCGTAACAGACTTAAGTTCAAATCCCGCATCACTTTACAGTACAAAAACTATTTACTGTGAATCTTAGAAAAACACCCGCCAGGACCTTTATATGAAACATCATATCGTAGGAACTGATATTAAACTAACAAAAATCCTAGCCATAAATAAACTCCAAACACAGGCTGCTTCCCCCAAGATAAGATACCTGACACCCTGACCAATTGCTAACACAAACCCACTCCCATTAACAAGGTGCCTACCAGAGAATGGCTTTGAAAAATACATAAATAAGCCCTCTGAAGACAAGTACTTAGTGGCTGATGAAAGCCGTTAAAGGACGGTTTGAAATAGTCTATTCCGATGTTGTGGTAATTTTTGTTTTTTGCTGTAAAAATATATATATATATATATATATATATATATATATATCCAACCAAATATGTTAGCTCTATCTCTGATATTGAGTGCTTTCTAATAAGTACCAAGATATATAATATATAAATAATTTTTTATATATATATATATATATATATATATATCCAATTCATCAGACATACAAATTCAAAAAAAAAATTTGTATTTTGAATTTTAGGTCTGATGAATTGGATCGTATTTACGATTCCAATGGAATAAATTATGACTATGGAATATTAGTGTTTAAGCCTTTTTATTATATCCTTACTCTGTCCTGGACATTGAGTTCTACCTGGATTCTATCCTCTTGGAATATTTTTTTAGGCAAATATATATATATATATATATATATATATATAATGTCTTTCCACAACTCACAGCCACTTTCCCATCTCTTTAATAAAATAACATGAACTCCCCTTCTTTCTTTTGATATCTAATAGCAGTCACTGAATACAAAGATAAAAAGCTCAAATGGGCTGGTGACCATTGCAACTGGTTGAGCCAAAGCTAAAAATAGATTCTCACAGACATGATGAATCCTGTGATCAAATATGAACACTGAGTGGGAAAAGATTGAAAGAATCAGTTGGGTGATGAGACTCAAAGGAGTCTGGCCATCTATTAAGTCCTTGTAAATGCTGCTTTCTTTAAATGTTGGGGCTACCAATGTAAATGGTGTTTTGTTGAAAAGGTTAATGTGGCTGCATGTTGAAGAGCATTTAACATTTATATATTTTTTTAAATCATGGAAAACCGATTTGTGTTTCAACGAATAAACATATATATTAAAATCAACAAGAAATACAAGGTAATTTTTGTAATGTGTGAATAAGGAGAAAAAAGTAGTTTTCCTTTATCTGTTAGTTGAATATGGTGATATTTAAATAAGCAAGTTTTCTGAATATAATGTTCAGAGTTCTGTGTTAAAATAGAATGTGTATTCAGAAGATCATACAGTTGTGTGTTTTGTAACTAACAGAGTTGTTGCAACTTGGCTTGTTCATAAAGAACTGATGGTGAATGATATTCAAGTTTTGTGTCTGTGTGCGTGCAGAGTGAGTAGAATGAATAATCTGTGTAGACGCGTGTGGGTAGTTGAGTTCTGCTGTCTTCAACTGTACTGGTTAAATTGGGAACGAATCCGGACTTATATTATTACCGTTAGGCTCCCAGCACAAATGCGGGATAAATTTTGAAAGAACATGAAAAATATCTGATTGGATGAAAAATCAACCAATTGATGATTTTATAACAAAAGCATGTTTGTGAGTTAATGGTAGGAAAAATTCAGTGTGGTGAATGCAATCAGTAAATTGTCCTGTGATATTTAGTATTTATTATTTGACCAATCACAGTTGAGAAAAATGTAGGCGTGGCAAACATAGTAGTAATCACTACATCCTCATGTGAACAGATTCTCCAAACTGAAGAGAAAGAAAGATGTTCCCAAATCACATAAACTCTAAGCACAGAATCGGGCAGAAGTGAGTGTGCAAATAATTCCTCTTTTACTTGTTACAGTCAAGCAAGATCACAATATAAAAGACAAAATGTTGCTTACATTAAAGGCATAGGTGAATGGCAAAGTTTTAGTTTGAAGCCAATGGCAATTTAATAGATAAATTTACTCTTTAGTATTTCAAAATATTTTTGTGTAATTTTGGTAAATATATGTTAAAATGAGATGTCAGTTTTATTTTCATTTTTTAATAATTTAGATGACAATTTATCCCTTGCACCCTGTAAAAACATGCACTTTTCTACATCACTATATACAAATGTACATACATACACATAGATGTATACAAACAGAATTAATATAAAAATATCATACAAGTCAATTTTTTATATTTATATACATATGTATTTCAGTGCTCTTGGGTCTGACACTGGAGGTTCCACGCGTAACCCAGCATCCTACTGTGGAGTGGTTGGCCTTAAATCAACCTATGGACGCTTATCTCGATATGGACTCATTCCTTTGACCAATTCATTAGATGTTCCAGGAATTTTTGCGAAAACGGTTGATGATGCAGCCATAATTTTCAGTAAGTTTCTCCTGTAGTAAACTGACTTCAATTTATTTTTTCTTCTTTGAACAAACTGACGATAAACTACATCCGGCAGCAAGGACTTTGATCTGGAAATTAGGGTTTTGAGGCGTGTGGAACAAACCTCTTAATGGCTGCTGTTCTCAGGTCCACTCTGTCCTGGGGTGTTAGCTCCAGCTAGGGTCCTATCTATGGGAAAACAGTGAACTCCCAACAAAAATCGACTACATTTTCATAATATAACGACCATCAATGCATTTTCATTGCAAAATGACAATCAATGCAAGACTAAATTATAAAAATACATTTTCATAGTAAAACTACTAACAATACACATTTTATGATTTACAAAACACATTTTAATCATAAAATTATCAACAATGCATTTTATGATCTACAAAATACATTTTTAATTGTAAAATTATCAACAATGTATTTTATGATCTACAAAATACATTTTTAATTGTAAAATTATCAACAATGTATTTTATGATCTACAAAATACATTTTTAATTGTAAAATTATCAACAATGTATTTTATGATCTACAAAATACATTTTTAATTGTAAAATTATCAACAATGCATTTTATGATCTACAAAATACATTTTAATCGTAAAATTATCAACAATGCATTTTATGATCTACAAAATACATTTTTAATCGTAAAATTATCAACAATGCATTTTATGATCTACAAAATACATTTTTAATCGTAAAATTATCAACAATGCATTTTATGATCTACAAAATACATTTTTAATCGTAAAATTATCAACAACACATTTTATGATCTACAAAATACATTTTTAATCGTAAAATTATCAACAACGCATTTTATGATCTACAAAATACATTTTAATCGTAAAATTATCAACAATGCATTTTATGATCTACAAAATACATTTTAATCGTAAAATTATCAACAATGCATTTTATGATCTGAAACCTACCTTTACTCTGAAAGCATAAAATTATATACAAAATAATTAGATTTTGGCCTTAAACTAGTAACCATGTCCACACAAACGTGTACATGCAGAAAAGCTTAATATCATCTACCATGTATTCAACTGTGAAAGCAGAATAAAATATGCCATTTTTTTTTATTTCAAAACTCTCCAAAAAATGAAATTTGGAATTAAATGACCCATAAAGAGCAGTGATGCTATCAAACAAACAAATCAAATCCTCTGAGAGACGCCTTTCTGCCTTTTATCAGCATGGCTAATGCTAACCTCCAGAAAAGTGACTTGTTGCACCTTCTCAGGCTAACGTTCTCACCTGACATGAAGTGCAAAAACTTTATTGGATCCAGGTCGGCTGCTAAGAAAGTTGATTTACTGTGCCATGTGAGACAATTTTTCTCACTAGAATCTATCTTACATATCTATAAATATCCATGCTTAGAATATTGCTGCCACATGCCCCTGCTATTTATCTTGAGCTCCTTGATAAAATCGGTTTCAGTCACTTACCCACCACCGTAAAGTTGCCTATCTCTACCTTTTTTTTTAATAAATATTTTCATGGTAATTGTTCAGATGAACTCTTTGCAATAGTACCTAGACTTTATGAATTTAAGCGCAGTGCTAGATTGGCATCAAGATCTCAAAAATTTACAATTGAGCTGGCTATATGTAGCCGTAAGTTCTATGCTAACAGTTTCTTTTCTTGCAGTTCTCACTTTTGGGACTCCCTTCCAGCTCCATGCGTTCCAACTAACTTTAATCTGCAAAAGTTTAAATGCAATGTCAATCACTATCCACTGTCTTCCTGATTACTCTTTTCTCGTTCTGCTCATTAATAATGTTTCTGTGTCTTAGTAGCTTTATATATATATATATATATATATATATATATATATATATATATTATAAATTAATTGATTTAAAATATGTTTTTTTTTCGCTACACAGTTCCAACCATGTTTCAAAAATAGAAGCTAAAAACCCCGAATTTAATTTTGCAATTAAATTAAAAGCATTAGTTCCATTTCATCTTCAAGCGAATTTTGGAGTCCAAAAAAATAAAAATATCTATAAGAACACCGGATTTTTTATATCTTACTGTTCTTTTTTTTATTTATATACATACATACATATATATATATATATATATATATATATATATATATATATATATATATATATATATATATTAAAAACTTAACGTGTTCTTGTTTTTGTTATTTTGAGCTTAAGAATTGATCCAATGTTTCACCAGAATGTTATCAATCCCAACCTAGCATCTCTGCTTCAGTCACTTTCCCACTGCTGTAATGTCCCTTTCCCATGCCTTTTCTATAAATATTTTCATGATAATTGTCCTGACAAGCTTTCCTCTGTGATACCTTGACTTTACAAATGTAAGTGCAGTACTAGATTGGCAGCTAGGTCTCATCATTTTACAGTTGAAATGGCTAGATGCAACCATAAGTTCTATGCTGAAAGTTTCTTCTCTCATATTTCCCACTTGTGGAACTCTTTTCCAGCTTCTTGCTTTCTAGTCAACTTTGATACAGTTCCAGTCGTCATCCTCTGTTTTCTTGAATCCTGTATCATCTTCTCTCTCCTTAATGTTTTTTTCGCAGAGTTTTACACTCTCTGTAATCCATTTCTGCTTAGTGGTTTTATTGCTTTGCTTGTGGTGAAATGATTTAAAAAAATAAAAATAAAATAAAAAGAGGGCTTGGCAAATTTGATAGTCAAAAGACATGGTGAAAGAAGGGAGGATCTGAAGGAAATGGCTCGTAATCTACCAAATGAGTTAGTATGCCAGAGCAGGGGCAAAGAGGATTGGTAAACAATACAATTGCTTTGAGTAATAAGTGACAGGGAAGCCATGATTACCCACTGCCTAAAGGGACATAACACACAAAAAATAAAACAAATAAAAAGTAACGGAAAAGTGACAAAAAATCAAAATGTACTGTAGAGTTATCTCCCCTCGGGTTGAGAATTTTTTTTTTTTGTTTGTTTGTTTTAAATTTCTTTTGACTCGATGATATTAACATTTTTTATGTAGTGTATATATATATATATATATATATGATATCTGTCAATGAACTTAATAAGTTTATCTTCCTGTGACACATAGTATATCTCCAAAACTTGAAATCTATTAACTATATATATATATATATATATATATATATATATATCCAAATGGGTAAATATACGTAGGTATACAAGCAAGTGATTGTATACAAAATGTATAAATACTCTATTGTGCAATTGCACAACTCAGTGTTTTATGCTGAAGCAATTTTCAAGTGCTGGAATTATATATATATATATATATATATATATATATATATATATAAAAAGAAAAGAACAGTAAGATATAAAATCCGGTGTTCTTATAGATTTAAAAAGTATTAGAAAAAAAAAACGAAAAAAAAAAACAAAAATCTTTAAATTCAAAAAATGACGTTGAAATTGTTTTACCGTTAACAATTTTTAAAAAAAACATTCAGACGACATCCATTCAACTGATGTCAGGTTTCATTGTAAAATACATCCCTACCCCTTACCAAATTGTAGCTAATAACTGATACAATGATACTGACATAAGGAAAATCTACACATCCCTTGTTCAATTTAAGTAGAATATTCTGTAACCATGGAAACGTGATTTTAGCTGTGTCTTTAAAACCCGGTAATTTTTAAAAGTTACTCCAAAATTCGCTTTAAGATGAAATGGAACTAATGCTTTTAATTTAATTGCAAAATTAAATTTGGGGTTTTTAGCTTCTATTTTTGAAACATGGTTGAACTGTGTAGCAAAAAAACCATATTTTAAATCAATTAATTTATAATATATATATATATATATATATATATATATATATATATATATATTATTTATTTAAAAATATGATTCCAAATCGCGACATAAGAAGTCCCATGTTTCAAAACAAGAGCCGAAAACTTCAATATAATTATTTAAATCATTTAAATTATTTAAATTAAATTGAGTTAAAATAAGCTCTGTTCCATCTTCAAGCGAAATTTTTTTTGGAATAACGTGTTGCTGAAATTTACGTGTTTTAAAAAATGAAATCAAAATTTCCATGGCAACAGCTAGGAATTAGAGAATTGCAGCCAAAAATAAATAAAGTCAACTATGAATATAGCAGCAAAGTGTTACATAAAAAAAAACTTACTGAATTAAAATACTACAATTAAAAAAAAAAAAATCAAGTTGCTTCCCTTGCATAGAGGTGGAAAAAATATTTTGAATTTCTGGTGTTAATGCATAACACACCCATAGATATGCAACCCCCTGAAGATGGTCTCTGATGAGATTGAAAGTACTTGGGAAAACAAAAATTATTTGAAAGAAAATTTTGGAATTTTTCTTTAGCAATTTTCTACAGCCACCAAGAAATTAATTCGTGAATTTGAAAGGATTAAAACTAAAATAAACAGATATAATGTCTTAATTATTTGACCAAACCTGCTTGAATGAAAATATGCTGCTTAAATATACACACACATACATATATTTTACTTCTAGTGTTATTTTTAAGGGATAGCCTTTTTGAGTAGATACTTTGTTTAATTTAAACAGTATTTATTTCATCTATTGGTATGCATACTCAGTAGGACTTAATAAAGAAAATGTACCCTCCAGCAGGAATTGAACCTGCATTTCCTTGGCTGATCCAGCCTATGTTTACCACTCAGCAACAAAGAGCTTCACAATAAAGTGAGGTTATATTTTGCTTATAAAGCACATTCACTTATTCCAATTTTTCCCGAAAAGCATACCTGTTCAGTTTTTTATCTGAAATGTAAACAGGGCAATTTCTAAAAAAAATTAATCTATTTCATTTTTTTATCTGTCTATATTTCTGAGATGAGGTATTATGTATACTATTTACATTATTCAGACTATTGTCCTTATCTTTGTTGCCATAATTATCCCAACGTTTTGACTGATGTATGCTCCGGCCTTTTTCAGGTGGTTGAAATGTCATACTGAACCCTTTATTTCGCTCGCTGGAGTAGACTGTTCTAGTTCCACATGCCATGTCTAATGGATGTCAGTTATCAGTTATCTCCTCTTAATTCCGCTCTCCAAGTTCTCAACCAGGTATTGAACTTGCACTCTTTGGTCCTGTCACTATCTGGTTAAGGCGGTGGAGAACTTGGAGAAGAGAATTGACAGGAGATAACTGATAACTGACATCCATTAGACATGGCATGTGGAACTAGAACAGTCTACTCCAGCGAGCGAAATAAAGGGTTCAGATTAACATTCCAACCACCTGAAGAAGGCCGGAGCATACAACGGCCAAAATGTTGTGATAAATATGGCAACAAAGATGAGACAATAGTCCAAATAATGTAAATAGTGTTCATTTTTTAATCCAATGTAAGAAATAAATACTGTTCAAATTAAACAATGTCTACTGAAATACTTAATGTTCGAAGTAATAAAAATATGGATCAGACAGTTGTACCTCCTGTAAAGGAAATGCAGGTTCAATTCCTGCTGGAGGGCACATTTTAGTATTTTAGTAAAATGTATGTATGAGGTTGAGATTTTAATCGATAACAGGGTAAAGCTTTTTTCAAACGATAGATATATATATATATATATATATATATAGGGATGGCTGTTCTATAGACTTGTATTATACTCAATGGATGTACTTTATTTCACGTTTTCAGTTTCAGAAATAGAGAGTCATATTATACTGAAGTTGTATTATTCGAAAAAGAAAGTACAGTAATTCTTTATGTGATATGTATTGGAATCTGTAAGCACAACATTCTTTTAATATTAAATGTCAGTTTCTATTATTACAATTCGATAATTTTAACACTTGTGCTTCTATATTATGAATTTCCACACCTAAAAATCTTCTGGTATTTTTTAGCATATGAGCTGCTTCCTTTATCTTGCACACTTTCCAGTGTTGTTTCTTATGTATTATTTTAGTTGAATTCCAGAAGGAATGGTGTGTTCTGTTTTGTTTTGTTTTTTTGTTTTCTTTATATATATATGTGTGGGAAAGTATATAGAAAAAAGTTTCCCAAAAAAAATTTCGCTTGAAGATGGAACAGAGCTTGCTTTAATTCAATTTAATTCAAATAATTATACATGAGAAACATGAGAACTCTTATGTAGCGTGTTGGAATCATATTTTTATATATATATATATATATATATATATATATATATGATCATCTATACTTGATTTTATGATCTTATATCCAACATTGTAAAAAATGTAATGAGTTTTCGTCAGCGAGGAAACTGAATTCAAGGGAAACAACTTCGCCAGAATAAAAGTAAAGTTATTTCCCCTTGATTTAAATTAGTTGCTTCGAACTTTGAAATATTTGGATTTTATTGGGTTTTTTTATTTTTTTTACAGTGTTTACATATAAGTTTAACAAAATTTGTCACTTAGCTAACTGGCTTTATATTCAGCACCTTGACTCTGCCCACTTGTCAGTGGGCATTACCAACTGACTTCGCATTTTTTTCATATTAAATCAAAACTATGTGCTTTTTATTGATGTATTGTAATGTTGATATTTTTTTTTTTTCTCTAATTTTGTGTGTCTCTCCCCCGCCCCCAATTCCTTTTCTTTCTTTCTCTCTTTCGGCTCAGAGGGTCAAAGGTAATGTAACACTATCATTTCCATTGTCACAGGTAGGATTTTTTTGGCAGGGGTGGGGAGTTACAGTAATTTGTTTTCTTGAATGTTCTAGAATTTTCTTAAGTTAGAGTTATTTAGTAAGTATAGGTGTATCCATTTTTTTTAATTAATTTTTTAGTTTAAATAATTTATTTTTTAATTAATGTCTAAATGGAAAAGTAAATATTTGTTTGTGTCTTCACTTACCCATTATTTAATTTTTCTTATTTAGTAGGGTTTTTTGTGTATTTGTCTGTGTGTCTGTTAGAGAATATATAGTGCAAATTCAAAATTATTTTCTGATATCATATTGGCATGATTTCTAAAGAGTTAATGGTTATTTTTTAATCCCACTATTTATTGCTTCAAATATTTTTTTTAGTGGATATCCATGTTTGAAATAGATGTTCCATTTTTATTTAACAATGTGTATTATGTTTACCTGTCTGTAAAATCTTTATTAAATTTTCTCATATGTATAGGCCCTAAGGCAAAAATACACACTGTTTAAGATAAAAAGCAGCAAAAATATAGCATTTGAAGTAATATCTGTAGTTTTATATGATTCAAAATTTATTCCTTTATGTACCAAGTCTCTCTTCATTATTTAGACGATCATGATTTTTCAAAACATTCTTTTTATTTCTTTTTTTTCTTTTACCATTCCACATTAAATAGGTTATTTCCCCTATTTCTCTTGCCTTAGATAAAGTTCTGTAAGTGTTAAATTCTCTAGGCACTCTTTCCTCATAATAGATCTTAGAAATTTCATGTCTTTTTCTATTTCTAAGTATAAGTCTGCTTAACTCAGTATCTGTCTATATTTCTGAGATGAGGTATTATGTACATTATTTACATTATTCGGACTATTGTTCGCATCTTTGTTGCCATATTTTTTATTACAATGTTTTGACCATTGTATGCTCCGGCCTTTTTCAGGTGGTTGGAATGTCAAACTGAACCCTTTATTTCACTCACTGGGGTAGACTGTTCTAGTTCCATGTGCCATGTTTTAATGGATGTCAGTTATCAGTTATCTACCCCAGTGAGCAAAATAAAGGGTTCATTTCGACATTCCAACTACCTGAAGAAGGCTGGAGCTTACAACAGCCGAAACGTAATAAATATAGTGACAAAGATTCAGACAATAGTCTGAATAATGTAAAGTCTGCTTAAGACTTCCCTGTTACTGACATGTTCTGTCCATGTTGACATTTTTTTTGTAGTACCCTGTTTCTGTTGCTACAAGACTCTATTAAACTGGTTAGGAAATTATCCAGCATTCACTGCCATATCAGAGGATTAATATTACATATCAGTTCAGCACATAAAATTTTCCTGTTTTAATGCTTTGCTTAGTTTCTGAAAGATATTTTTCCCTATTCTTATGCACCTCTGGATTAATTGGTCACATAGTTATATCATTAAAATATTCCTTTCAATTTATATTACGAACTGAAGTATCTATCTATACTGATAAAGAGGCCAAAACTTGGATCCTGTCTGGTTGTAATGACAAATTCCTTTGTGCTTAAAAATACATCCATGTAAATCTTCTACCTACATGAAGCAACTGAATAAATTACTAAGAAATCTTTATTTTCCATTCTTCGTTGTTAATTAAAATTTTATTGTCATCAGTCACATGTTAAAGCATTCCTTTTTCTGACAGCACTCATTGTATTATATTTAGAGTAAATTTCTGAATTCAAAATTATAGAAAAGGCAATAGAAAACCTATTATATAAGAATAAAGTGTCACTGCTGACACTGGAGTTTGAACACTGATCACCAGAGAGCAAACACACATTTTGAATAAGTAGACCACGTGATTGCAAAGTAAATGTACATATGGGAATTAGCATGGCGTCTAATTGATCACCATTTCTATTCTATCCTCTATTACTATAAGGATCACTATTTCTACACTATCATCTATTACGATACAGATTGCTATTCTCTATATTCGGATCACTACACGGTTACTATTTGGCGGCTACTTTTTGAGTGAGTATTATCGAGCAAGTACTATTAGTGCGAGTGTTATTCAAAGATGTCTGACACCAGTATTGTTCAATGGCGTTACTATAGTTGTCTGCAATTACAAAGTCTCTACTACAATGAGCATTACGAAAGTGACAAGTATTTGTTAACATTACAAAAGTACTTTTGTAATGTCAACGTCGAAACGATTACAATCAAAATTATTTCGTCAACTCAATATTGTTTTCTTTCTTCTTAGATACGTTGGCTGGACATGATATTCAAGACTCCACTACAGTAACTGATCCATTTCATCCTGTGATCTTGCCAGACGCACCAGAGGTTAAAGGACTCACTATTGGTATCCCACAGGTGAGACATGAGTTATATGTCACACTTGTTTATTATTTATTTATTCTGAGGCAACTATGAGCTTCACATGAGGAATTAAGATCATTGATTGATCACTTTTTTATTGGTTATCAACCTTTTTAAGCTTATTTAAAGCTGAAACATATTTTTGGATTATAAGAATTTTTTTTGGAGAACACAATGATTTTCTGATACAAGTCCCACTATTTAACCCATAGCTGGGGCAAATTAAGATGAATCAGTTAACCTTTCAGTTTATACCTGTTTGATATTTAAAAAAGTGGATATTGACATCAACACCTAGAGGTAACACTGTTTCATGCTAACCACAATCATCAGACCACCCAAATGATTGTTTAGCATGAAACAGTCTGTCGCCTCTGAGTGTTGACTTCAATGTTCACTTTTATATTTATATTTACATACGCTCTATCTCTGATATTGAGCACTTTATCCCATAAATATATATAGCATACCTTAAAACTATATTCCCTCTCACTCTCTCTCTCTCTCATATATATATATATATATATATATATATATATATATATATATATATATATATGTGTGTGTGCAGTACTTGTCTGACGATCACAAAAGCATGAAACCCAGGACCATAAACTCATATCCATACAACTAAATATATATATATATATAAGAGCATGTTTGTTTGAATAATCTACAGATATTATGTCTTTATTTCAATCCTCTCAAATTCACAGATCAATTTCTTAGTATTGTTACAAAACTGATTAGGAAACTATGGTGTCTTTCTTAAGTTGTGTAACAGCATTAAGAAATTGATCCATGAATTTGAGAGGATTAAAATAAGAATAGACAGACTATGTCTAGATTATTCAACCAAATATGCTTGAATATGTTGAATATATATATATATATATATATATATATATATATATATGACATTTTTTATGTTTATACATTCTTTTTATAGATGCAAATATTTAAGTAAATGCTCTGTTTATAATAAACAGTATTAACAACATTTACCGGCCTGAATGTCAGAAATTTTCATAGAAAATATGCGTCCTCCAACAAGAACCAAACCTGTATCCTATACAGAACTGTCATATAGCCTGACGTGCCTTAACCAATTGGGCCACAGAGGAGCATTCGGTTAGCAAGGTTTTCTCATACATTCATATCTGCTCAATGTGTATCCATATGTAAACAAATGACGTCATACATTATGAACTGGACAAAGTCCAACAATTATTTAAGACAAATTTTTGTGTTTATTTATATATATATATATATATATATATATATATATATATATATACACACATATAAACGTGTGTGGACACTTAACAGTCTGTTTCACACTTGAATGCAGTCTTCTAGCCGTGTGTGTTGGCTTCATTATTTATACATGCTGGTCAATGGAGCATTGGTTTATGGTCACAGCATGTCAAAACACTGGTTCCTGTACAATCATTGAAGTTAAGCAATATCAAGTCTGGTCAGTACTTAGATGAGTAACTGCTTTGAGAATACCAGATGCTGTAAGCTTGAATGTGTGGGTGGTGTAAAGGATAGTGGCTTGTAATTGTTAATTGCAGAGTGACATTCCAATTACAATCAGGTTTCTTATATTCACTTACATGCAAATACCAATGGGAAAGGTAATCCACCTTCTCCCCCCAGCTATGGATTAATTAGTAAAAATTGTATCATTAAACATTATCACCAAAAAAATATTTCTTACAATCTAAAAATATTTTCTAGCTTTAAATAAACTGGAAAGGGTTGATAAACCATAAAAAACTACACACACACACACACACACACATATATATATGATTTTGCGGGTGGGGGACCTTTGAAATCCTTCTGGGTTGCCTGCCTTAGAAATCAGTAGATTAGTTTAATTTTTTACTTTTTATTTTAATTTGTTTTTATTTGATCAAATTCTTGGGGCCAAACTGCAACTCTTTTCTTGCAATCAAAACTTTGCAACAAGCCATTGATTAAATTTTATCTATTCTTAACACTGTCAGATTGACTTCATTAAAATTGTAATGGGATCTCCCAAGAAAGACTGATGTGGCCGTTCTTTAGAATTTGGGCTACAGATTTACAAGGTATAGCAAAAAAGAAACCAAATCAAATCAAAAAAACTTATGTCTATTAAAATAACAATGTACTATTTATCCTTGGGGAATCTCATTATTTCAACAAACAACAAGACTCTGTTTATTCCCTGAGAATCTCATCATTTTGACAAATAGCAAGGACCTATTTATTCCCGGAGTATCTTGTTTAAATTCCTTTAAAAAAAAAAAAAAAAAAAGCCTGAATCTTTCTCACCCAGCTATGGGTTAAATAACAGGGCAGACTAAGTTCTTTAGCCATCTAAGTGAAAGTAATCTTTGAATTTCTGGGTTATCTCACTAGGCTTTGCCAAAAGCACCTGTTAAGTGTAGTTATTGAAGTCTATAAAAAGACAATCATATTCTCTTCTGGTGTAGGGATCTGTCCCTGCACTGGTAGTATCATGGCAACGACTAGATTGGACCAGCTCTGACCAGCTATGACAAGCCAAGACAAGCTCTGACTAGCTTAGACCAGCTTAGACCAGCGGCCCGAGTGAAAACACTCAGGTCCTGACCTTGTGTCACAACCTGACTCAGTCAAGTAAATATCCATATTCTCTCTCTTTCTCTTTTTTTTCGTCTTGCTTTCAGATGTAGTCGAATGTAGTTAAAGAATGCTGTTGATGGGGCTTGTTCACTTCCTTGGTCCTCTTTTGACTGAAGTCTCACATATATATGCTTGTTACACACACACACACACACACAGTCACATTTTTATAGCCAGTTTTAATTCCTTTTCCTTTGATTTCAATTGTTTCCCCATGTAATTCCTTTTGCTAATAACCTGCATTCATTTTCCTTTTTTATTTTTTTAAATTCCATGTTTTGTATTATTTATTTTTACCCAGAATCCCATGGGTCTACCAATATTGTTTGTGGGACAAATGTTCCAGGAGCCTATAAATATCATTTACTAGCAGTAGAGCCCGGCGTAGCCCAGGGATGTAACAGTAAGAGAGAGATCAAGTATCGACCATCATAAAGACTGAAAAATAAAATTGACAAAGATTATTGTTTAAGGTTGACGGACGCGCATGTCTTAATTAATTTTTTTTTTTTTTAATGAATTGGTCAAACCCAAACTCAAACAAAAACATTGTTTTCAAGTTATGAGTCTACCGATTGAATAGAATTTTTCAATTTTATTATAAAGAATTGTCTTGTAAATGGAATTTTTAAAGCATTCTGAATGTAAAAATAGAGAAAAAGGTGTGCAAGACACTAAGAAACACTACCTGCTAAAAAAAAGTGAAGTTTTGTTGAAATCGATTGAAAAATGTAGGAAATCCAATCCCATATAAAAACACACACACACACATACAACCTGGGTTTTATAATAAGTATAACTCGATATGAGTTGTCCCCCTTTCATTCTCATGATGCCTCTTAATCGTGTTTTTCAAATTGTTTTCGTAAAAAACAATTGTGTTTTTCCATTTTTGGCGCTGTCAGAACCACACGCAAGGTAATTTTACGTAGTCCTGTAAAGTTTTGTTGAAATCAATTGAAAAATGTAGGAAATTCGATCCAATATATAAATGTACAGACACACACACACACACACACACACAACCTGGGTTTTATAATAAGTAAGATGCAACGTCCACAACCTCGGAACAAAAGAGGTGATTTCTGCCACAAATTCCAGGAAACTAGTCTACTCTCTCTCCTAATCCCTATTCTGCCAAACAATTGCTACAAGCTTGTTAGTTTATTCATTGCTTTCCTCTTTTTTGCCTTTCGTACATCCTGTGAGTTTCATATTCTCCAAGTTCTCTTTTCTCATTATCCACCCTAGGAATTTCTATTGTCTTTTTCTGATTCTGAGTCTCTTTTTTTTTGTTTTTCATTTTCCTTCAAACCTCCTCCTTTCTCGCAAGTTCCGTCCACGGTATTCTTAGTATTCCTTCAGTTTTTCTTAATTGTTTCATCCCAAGCAAGGCAATAAAGCCACTAAGACAAGGTGTTACTGAGTGTGAAAGAAAAAGAAAAGGTTTAATTAGTCTTTCCTCTTCCCGCTCATTATAAATGTTTCTCTTCCTAAGGAATAATTAGGAAGAAAAACACCCAGTAATCACTTGTGGTGTCTTAGTGGCTTTACTGCCTTGCATAGGGTGATACCAATTATTTTTTTTTTTTTTTTTTTTAAAAAAAAAAAAAATGAGAGAAAGAACAATAAAAGAATTAATCAAAAAACTGATTAACATTGCATTTACATTTTCAAAGATCAAAGTTGGCTGGAAAGCAAGAAGTTAGAAAAGACTAGGTTAGATGCGTGAGAAGAGAAATTGTTAGCAGTGAACTTATGTTTATGTCTCGTCATATCAACTATAAAATGAGACTTTGCCGCCAATCTAGTACTGCAATTAATCAAGTCTAGGTACCGTAGAGCAGAGTTCCTCAGAACAGTTATCATGAAAATATTTATAGAAAAAGGCACAGGGAAGCTAACTTATGGTGGTGGGGAAATTGATTGAAGTTGAGATGCCAGGTCAGGATCATTAGCATTGCTGATTCTTCTTTCCGTTACCTCAAATCCCGTCTTCATTTGTGAGGAGATAGTCCAGCAGCTAGGATTACTAGTCAGAACCCTAATGACTGTAGGGACAAACAGTGATTTCAGTTTTCTTGGAACGCCACTCTTTTCGCCCACCCCGCTCTTTGACTTCCAAAAATAAAATAGCAAATTTAATCTAAAACTTTCAACAAATGGAGTTAAACACTTAGTCTAATTAACCTATTGGAGGTTATCTCCCTTTATTTGTATTTAAAGAAAAGATATTAATTCATTTGAAAATATATGGAAATATTTAATGTCATGGAGTATTTTGTCAACAATCCCTCTCTAATGCATGTTTCGTTAAAATTAAACAAAGTATTTCTTTTGAGTTTTTTTTTTTGTTTATTGTACTTTTCTGGCATGTAAACAAGTCGTATCTTTTTTGGACTAAGAAGTACAAGGAAGTTTACTTGTTATTGTTTCATTAAATAAAAAAGTAAACTTAATTCTAATTAAAAAAAAAAAAAAAAAAAAATTGTCATTTTTTACATATTATTTTTTATATAATATATATTAGAATAGATCCAACAGATTTTTATCACTTTAAACGTTATTACTAGTGGATAATACTACCAATCTCAAATGTTGAGAAATCTTATTAAAAAAAAAAAAAAAATTGAGCTCTTTGGCAGGAATTGAACCTGCATCCCTCAGGATAGAGCTACAATTTAGCTTGATGCACCTTTGGCCATGAAAAACAGTCAGGTGAAGTCAAATTTTCTCTTGTCAATGATCTCTTAAAGTTTTTCATATCAGCGTGCAGTTTTGTATCAAAACATCGTTTAACATTAGTAGTTATCTCAACCTTAAGATTTAAGCTTTTTAATTCCCTGATTCATAATTTATATGCAGACAACTTTGTGTCATGACCTATATTAAAAAATTTTTTCAGTGAGTTTGAATTTAGCATAAGTCACATTTGACTGGTTAATTATGGCAAAGCCGACAAGCCTTTTTCTATTTTATTTTTTTCTCAAAAAAAATGAGGAAGTATTATGCTTTTAAAATTAAATTACTTGTTCACTAGCCAATAAATTAACATCACCCAAGGAGACACATTTGTAGTGTCAAAACATGATTGTAATTTTGTAGCAATTTTTAACATATTTTTGTTATTCATATCCTAAAATACATACATACACACACACACATATATATATATATATATATGTGTGTGAAAAGTGTATATAAATATAAATAAATATATATATGTATAATTATTTATATGTTATATGCGCGGTACTTATTAGAATGCGCTCAAACTCACATCTATCCAACCAAATATATATATATATATATATATATATATATATATATATATATATTTGTTTGAATAAAAACAGACCACTTTAAGGTTCCATGTAATAAATTATTTCACCACAGCCCTTTTATTTGCTCTGAATTTACATTGAGCTCTCTGGATATCATCCTCCTTGGGTCTACCCATACAGATTACCTAGTTTTGCATAAACTATATATATATATATATATATATATGTGTGTGTGTGTGTGTGTATCATTCGCAGACAGTACTGTTTCGCTGTATCACAGCTCCTCAGTGTGACTAGACAACCGAATGCCTCAACCCCGGCTCAAAACCCAACCAATTTGGTGTCAGAGTTTCTACCACTGAGCCATCTTCACTTGAGAGAACGAATCAGGTTTTGACAAACAAAAACGAACACCAAGCAGCCAAATGCTCCATTCATTTTACTGAAGTGCTTCGCATTTACGCAATTGACCATTGTTTTTAGAATTAGCTTGTTGTTCAACAGTACTCAATTGATAATATATCTTCAAGAGCTAAGAAATAATGACAGGTTAAAAATTTATTAATTGCAAATATATATATATATATATATATATATATATATATATATTTGCAATTAATGAATTTTTTAACCTGTCATTATTTCTTATGATGAATATTATATTTAGTCGGTACACATGTTTGAATAGGTACATCTGTTTTCGGATTTTAGCAATGAAATTTCTACCTTATCAAATGTCTTGCTCAAGAAAATGTGCCTTTTGACAAGAATCAACACTGCATTCATTTTTTCCATCAGGGAAACTCCCTTTCAAGCCAAGTTTATCTTACCAATTAGGACACAAGAAGCCTTCATGGCGAAATATGGCTCAGTTATCTTATTTAACCAATGTCCATCTGCTAACCTGATTTTTCTGCTCAAAACCTAAACTCTGTAATTCTCCAGATGAACTCTTCGCTCATTTAGTGCCTAGGGTCTTTGAATTTAAGCACAGTACGAGACTGTCGATGAGGTTTCACCAATTTACGTTTGAGCTGGCTAGATGTAACTGTAAATTCTATATTAAGTTTCTTTTTCTCACACTTCTTGCTTGTGGAACTCCCTTCTGGCTCCATATTTTGGAGCCAATTTTAATCAGCAAAAATTTAAATTCATTGTCAATCGCTATCTACTGTCCTCCTGATTAATCTTTTCTCTGTTTTTGTTCTTTAGCAATGTTTCTGTTTTTTAACTCTTCCACACCCAGTAAACTCCTTGTGCCTCAGTGGCTTTACTGACTTGCAGGGGGTAAACTCAATTTAAAAAAAAAAAATAAAATAAAAGTATATACTAATTCTTCTTCCTGTTATGCATTATTATTTTCTTCCTTTTTTTTTTTTTTTCCCAAATAGAATTGCGACTCTCTGACTACAAAGGAAGTTATTGACCTCAGATTAAAGGTAGCAGATATGTTTGCGAATGCAGGTGCTAAAGTTGTTCCAGTTTCTCTTCCGCACGCATCATACAGCGTAAGCTGCTATATTATACTCTGTTGCAGTGAGGTGGCTTCAAACATGGCCTGCTATGATGGAATTGAATTTGGTAAGCTAAAATAAACTTTATTTTACCTTAATCTATTCAGGCTGTTGTTCTCATCTGATAAGGTCACATTTCCATTGCATTTTTCAGCCTTCTTCAGTTGTCAGTTGTACTTGATTGCCCCCCCCAACCCCCTTGGAAAGTTAGGGCCTACTGAGTTAGTTCCTGTCTCAGTCAGTTGTGATACATGCTTAGGTGATCTTTCAATATATGACTGTCGAGGCAGATGTTTTTACCCACAAGAGGTTGCCATTTCTTTCTGCAGTAGACCAGTTGCCATTCCAGGCTATAGAACCTTGTCTGTCCTACTATTTACCCATAGCTGGGGAGAGATGAAGAGGATTCATACCTTTTCCAAGGGTATTAGCACATACGTGAATGTAATGGATTTGACTGGAATTCGAACTCGGCTCTCCGATTCCTCAATTTGAGCCACTATCCATTACTCCACCTGTCTCAGAAGTTAGAATTATCATATTTTAATTCTGCTTATTTTATTCCTTCATTACACCTCTCACCTGTGGAACTCCCTTCCCTTTTCCTGTTTCCCTGATAGCTATAATCTCCAACTATTCAAATGTAATGTCAATAGACATCTCCAGATGCCTTGATCTATCCACTATCCTTCTCTTCATCCTTTCCTCTATAACTCCTATCTACTCTCGCTCCAAATCCTATGTAACCCCTTGCATGCTAGTGGCTTCCAGCCTTGCTTGGGGTGAAATGCTTATAAAAAAAAAAAGAAAAAAAGTAATCCTTACTCTGTAATAGCTTGCCTGTCCCCTGCCCACAAATTTAGTTTGCCTGTCCCCTGCCCACAAATTCTTGGTATAACAGCAGAGGACAAAGTAAATCACTAACCCCCTTATTTTAACTTACTTTAATCTTCATTTGGTGTGTATTGAAGCTGTTTGTATGCATTTCTCAAAAGAAAGGGTACAGGAAGCAATAATGCCTCTCTGAATTTAACGGATGCTTCAGGAAAATAGTGTATTAATATGTAGTATATGTAGTAAATATGTAGTAATATGTAGTAAATAGTGTAGTAATATGAAACAAAAATAATTAGTTGCAGTAATAAAATGTAGCGAAACCCATTCACATTATTTACATTCAGATTGTTTTTATCACATTTCAGCTATTATGGTCTCTGGCCTTCAGGTGTCTGCCTATCTATAGATTGTAGATTGTTCTCTTTCTACTGTCTACATCGAGAGATATCTCATCTTGTTCTTTATTTAATACTTCTTACTCACCCTGTTTCTAGTGAGTTTATGTCTCTACTACCCATGCCTGGGATTGAACTCACATGTCACCAAATGCACCAGTGATTTAATCATGCACCCGTGATTTAATCCACTGGCCTATTGTCCTGTAGTACAATCTTAAATTGAACCCTTTATTTAATTTACCCATGGAAAAATAGCCTTCTTCTTTGTTATATACAATAGGCGATCATGGCTCTCCACAATTTCCTGTCATTTGTAGTTCTTAATAAATTTTGTCTTTTTGTTATTTCTCCTAAACCTTGTTCCGCTATCCATTTACTCAAGCTCACTAAGTATGTTATACATTGTTTTCTGCTGTCCCTCTTGTCTTCAATCTGTCCTGTGAGTAACAAATTTTCCAAGCCTTCTTTCCTCATTATGTGCCATAGAAATTTAAACTCTCTCTCCCTGATGTTAAGTATAAGTTTCCTTTTTGTCTCTACTTTCTCTAAATCTTTGTCAGTGCTCACATGTTCAGTCTATGGTATCCTCAACACCCTTCTGTAGAACCACATTTCTATTGCTTCATGTTCATCTTTGAGGAGATTGTCCAGCATTTATTGACTTGTGGATTAAAAAGTTGGTTCATGAACCTGATGATATAATAATTGGGAGTTCAGTCCCTGGCCCGGGTAGGGCTAACTTAAACTCGGTGGAAACAGGGTGAGAAATAATAAGAACAAGATGCAATATCCCTAGATGTGTGCAATGGAATGAGAAGAATTAGACCCCATAATGTTAAAGGATATTCTCTAGTTAATTCCTTTTTCTTTTGTTTTTTTTTTTTTTTTTTGCTCAGGATACAACTTTTTATTTATTTTATTTTAACAAACAGAATTGACAACATTATATTACAGTAATCAGGTAAAGCAACAGCAAAAAGGTCACAAACTAGGAAGTGGAGTTGACACACAAGAGTGATTGTGACTTCAAAACAAGACAGACTGGAACAGTCATAAAAATGTGAACTTGCCTATTTTATTGGCTGAGAATAAATCCCAGCATGCATTTACATTTTTCTACCTATAAATTGGGGAGTGGAAATTGTTTGGCAGTCATTACAGGATTCAAGCCAACACAAAGAAAATTTGATATTAATTTCTTCATGCTTTTTGTACACAACATACTTTGTTTTTCACAAAACAAAAAAGCTCAGCCAATTCATTTTAAAAGATTGTGATGTATATTCTCTGAAAATTTTGAGAATGTATAGAAATACATAACGTAGAACAAGAATATATAATAAAGCAACAATACATAATGGAAAGCAAGAAACCTGATTTAGAATTACAAAGTGTAGAGTGAGTGTCCATCGTTTAACGTAAATAAATGGTAGAACTGCCCAAGAAACAAAATTGACAAAGTTTGGAATAAGCAACAGCAAGAAATAGAAGAGAACAGGGCAAAATATAATATAAAACAAAGCAAGCAATATATACAAAGCAAATTAACAGTAATAAGGTAAAGCAACAGTAATATGGCAAAAAGTTTGCAGAATTTGGGTTGACACATCAGCAAATTGTGATAAACGAACACAGCATTCTGACTTCAAGACAGACTAGGACTGAGTCAGATGGCACTGAGAACCAGCCTATTTTATTGGCTAGGAATTAATCCCAGCATGCATTTGTGTCCTTTTACCTATAAATTGGATGTGGGGGGGGGTGTTTTTCAGTCATTTCAAGTAGGATTGGAACCAGCAGTTTCTGTGACTGGATGGTGGAATTGTGGGTGGGAAGAGGCTTAGCAAATGGCCAGAAACTGCAAAGGGCTACAAGAGATTGGAATTGGTGGAGAGCCATGAGTGTCTATGTCCTGAAGAGGGGACACAACACATGGAAGAATAACTGAGCAATACAAAAGAAAAAAAAAAAGGATACGCCTAGATATGGACAGTGGAATGAGAATGATCTACCCCCACAGATTAGATAAAATGGTTCATTTTGAACTTCCCTTAAGGTTATCTGGATTGGCAGATACCTGAAGAAGGCCAGAGAACACAACAGCTGAAGCTTCTTTCATTCCTACCCCGCCAACTCCCAACACCAAATCATTCCATTGGGTAAAACTTTCATCATATTTCTCAGTCAGCTAAACCTGATCAATATGTTACCCCCCTCAAAACTTGATAGATTTAACAGCTATTGGCTTCAATAGGTAAGTAATATTGATTAGCTATTGTCAGTTTTTCTTTTTTTGTCTCCGTATTTTTAGGTCACAGAGCAAAAGACACGGTGTCTACTGAACAGCTGTTTGCTACAACACGTCATGACGGCTTCAATGACGTTGTGAGAGAAAGGATCCTGGCAGGCAATTATTTCCTCTTGAAAAGGTAAAAAACCTCAGTTCCTGTTGCAATGCATGCTATCTGGACCAAATGGGTCAAGCCTCATTGGGGGTCCCAGGCAGTGCTTCGTGATCTTTGCTATCTTATCAATGTTTCCTTTTTTTTTTTTTTTTGTACCTACATTCATCTATACATTGCAAATTAAACTAAACACAACTATTAAAGAATGACAAATTTTCACTGATCTTGACATCATTCTGCAACCCTATTTTTTATTTCCATCCAAATCCGTGAATTTTTGCTCATGCTAAGACTCTATTTTATATCTGTAATGTCGAATATGTTAAAATTCTTCAACTTTTTGACAAGAAGAATCTCAAGTTGATGTTAGTCTTCGGTATGATGAAAAACTACATGAAACAACAAGGCTTTTGATCAGAAGATTAGAGGTAGCACCTGCTAGGACGCCAGCTGTGGCAAAATAGTCAAACCCCAAACAAATACAAAACACTATGAAAGTATAAAAATACATTTTCGTAGTAAAATGACTAGCAATACATTTTTATATTAAAAATTACCAACAATATTTATCTATAATATAATTACAAACAGTACATATCCATAGTAAAATTACCAACAATATACACATACTAACAAATTGTAGGAATTTCTCTCAAATCCATTTAAGATACTTCCAAACAACCAACATCATCTGTCTATATCTCTGAGATGAGGTATTATGATTATTTACATCATTCAGACTATTATCATCATCTTCATTGCCATATTCACAATGTTTCAGCCATTGTACGCTCCGGCCTTCTTCAGGTGATTGGAATTTTAAGAAAATAACATGAACACCTTCTTTATATAATTTTTAAGAACTCAATAATATCTGTGTATATCTCTGAGATGAGGTATTATGATTATTTACATTATTCAGACTGTTATCCTCATCTTCATTGCCATATTCACGTTTCAGCTGTTGTATGGTCTGGTGGATAGAGACATTGGTTAGATCCACTGACTAGACCCAAAAAGTTGGGAGTTCAATACCAGCCTACAGCAGTGATGAACCAAAAAACTTGGAGAGTTGAGTTAAAGGGAAATAACTGACATATCTGGAAGAGGCATGGCGTGTGGATCTAGAACAATCTACCCCAGTGGATGAAATAAAGGGTTTAATTCAAAATTCCAATCACCTGAAGAAAGTTGGAGTGTACAACAGACAAAATGTTGTGAATATGGCAGTGGAGATGAGAATAATGTAAATAACCAACATCTTCTTCTTCATGGCATTAATCCATATAATACCCAACAATTTCTTAAATCAAACTGTATTCCAAAATATAATTTCAGCAAAACTACGACATAAAACATACATATCACTGTCTCTAGTAATTATATCCGCACAAACATGTATATGCACAAAAGCTGAATATCATCTACCATGTATTCAACTGTGAAAGCAGAATAACATATACCATTTTTTTTTTATTTCAAAACTCCCAAGAAAATTAAATTTCAACATTAAATGACCCACACAGGAGTTGCTATGCCATTAAACAGATAAATCACTAACAAATTGATGTTAAAAAATGCTGCAAAACATTGTTCATTTATTTAAGATCTATTATGACATGTCTCTAACTTGTATTTAGATACATTGTATTTATTTTCAATTTTCCTAGTTGAATTGTTCACCTATATTGCATGTGATCAATTATTGTATATAATTAGGTTACAATAAAATTTGTATTTTATATGAAAATTGAGATGATGTAGAGTGTCAGGTTGATATCATAGATTCAGTGGGTGGGGTGAGCACGCAACCCTTACACTTGCTCTGCAGACTACCCTAAGCTTTGATAATTCCAGAATTTTCTGAACTGTCAATTTTTAACCTTATATGTCTTTTGCTTGAGATGTGTTTCATCTTTTGATTATAATGAAACATAAACTGCTCTAAAGAGAAAAAACTGATTATTATATTATATTATTCTGTAGTTTCAGACCTTTGAAGCTGAGACATGCCATGCAGCTTCCAAAGAGTTGAATCACCCTCATTTCTTCCATACTCCAGTCGGCTTTTTCTCAAGAACTGCCACTTCCCTCAGCAATGCCATCAACCTCTAGGATTAGTCTTTATCTGTCCTCTTATAATCCTTATTCACCATAACCAGTATTTACATTATTCAGACTATATTCTTTGTCGCCATATTTATTACAATGTTTCAGCCTTCTTCAGGTGGTTGGAATGTCGAACTTAACCCTTTAATTCAATCACTGGGGTAGACTGTTCTAGTTCCACGTGCCATGTCTAATGGATGTCAGTTATCAGTTATCTCCTGTTAATTTCCCTCTCCAAGTTCTCCACTGCCTTAACCGTTCTCCACACGCCGGCTAACAAGGGCTCTGGTGAAAATCCAAGGAGCGTCTGCATCGGCAACCGGTGGTTTCTGGTAATGTCTGTGGGAACCCGCGGCAAGCAAGAACGTTATCCGAGTAGGCCTGGGTACCCTACTTCTGTAATTTATCCCAAGAATCTTCTTCTCACAACAGGAAGAAGCCGGCTCAATCCGCACAGGGTGAATGCCGCATCAGGACAGGAGGACTGCCTTAACCGGGTAGTGAACTCACACTCTTTGGGTGCTGTCACTGGATCTAACCAACGACTTTATCCACTGTGCCATGTGTCCTCTGTGTATGAATTTCTGGTTATTATAAACCTAATGTCTTCAGCAACCATTTTTTACAAGTGCTCATATTGCAATTTTTTCTGTTATTATTGCATGTTTTTTACTAGAGCTCATATTGCATTTTTTTTTTTTTTTTTTTTTTTTTTTTTGTTATTATTGCTTTTCTCTGGCACTCCTTATTACTGGTTCCCATATTGTATTCATTTCTATGCTTGATCGGCTCAGGAGATTTTTGTGGCCTATCAGATGTGCTGATTCCTTAAGTTTACAAATTTTCCAATGGTGTTCTTTGTCTATGGTCTCAACCTGATCCCATCATAACCATTTCAACAGTAGGACTCTTCCATAAGTGACTCTCAAGCCTTGAACCTGGTAAATTTTAGTATTAAAAAGGTAAAGGAAATGTCTCACAGAAATATTGTTTAGAAAACATGGAAAAATATTGGAAATTATTTTCTTTGAGAATTTTTTCATTATTATTATTATTAATATTATTCTCTTTGATTTCTTTCTGTGTTCCGACCAGAGACCTAAGGTCAGAAATGGTATGACATTTTCCACTGAGCACTTTTGAAAAAGAAAAAAAATCACATATTTTACATAGATAACACCCACCTGTTAGTTGGTGGTGTTCCCAGGTCTACTCTGAATCGAGGTGGTAGCACCTGTTAGGGCCCCGGCTCTGGGCAAATAGTTGATATTCCCCCCTCCCCCGCAAACTGGGGTCAAAACACTATGAAAGTGTAAAAATAGATTTTAATACCAGCAATTAATTTTTGAAGATAAAATTATTTCCAGCAATATATTATTACCAGCAATACATTTTTGGAAAATAAATATTACCAGCAATATATTTTTCAAAAAAATATTGCCAGCAATAAAAATCTTGTCGGCATTAAATAATCTATTGAGGTTGATATACCACAAAACAAAACAAAACCATAATAAGAAATAAGGTAAATATTTCAACAGGAAAAAAAAAACATTATTTGTTCAATTCTTACCAAAGAAAAAGCAAATGATTGACACTCATCTGTAACTGATGCCACCAACTAAATCTAAACACAAGTCTTGGAGCTGATGATATTTTTGTCCTTTTTTCTGTTGTTCACAGCCTTATCAAAGACTTCAATGAAACAGAGCTTCTGATAAATGCTCTTCTGATAAATGCTGTGAGAAGGAAAGTAATAACTCTCTTATCAATGGCCTCTGCCCACCTCATTCAACAATGGTCATTAGACTTGCTTACACTGGCAACAATCAGCTCAAAGAAGAAAACCATGAAACAATTAAAATTCATGTTCATTGCATAATTAATATGCACATCAGTTCATTCCCATAGACAACAGCAGTTGTCATACAAAAAGTAAAGTTAATGAAATAAAATATTTTTGGTAAAATTCAGGTAGCACCCAAGATGAAAAAATATAATGCAAATTGAAATACGTTTTTTTTTTCTTTTGAAATGTGTTATTGATAACAAATACAAACTTGTGGAGCATGTAGTCGCAATGCTAAGGTTGAAATTTTGAAAATTTAAGTGAGAGCATTTTTTACTAATATGATTAGTGGGCTAATGCATCCTTAAAATTTGGTTAGTGAAGAGATTTCACCATTTTATATTAACTTTACTAATTTACTTTTTCTATGAATGATTCATTGTAATATATATATGTGTGTGTGTGTGTGTGTGTGTGTATATATATATATATATATATATATATATATATATATATATATATATATATGTTTTATTCATTATAATTTTTACATATCGACAAAAAAACAACTTACTACAAAGATACATTCGTGTTTAACAAAGCTGCAGCTTGACTGGTGAGAACTTAAAAATGGTTATGTATATATATATATATATATAAAATGATTGTGTGTGTGTATATATATATATGTTTATGTGTATATATATATATATATATATATATATATATGAATAAATGTTTATGTGTGTGTATATATATATATATATATATATATATATATATATATATGAATAAATGTTATGTGTGTATATATATATATATATATATATATATATATATATATGAATAAATGTTTTGTGTGTATATATATATATATATATATATATATATATATATATAAATGTTTATGTGTGTGTATATATATATATATATATATATATATGAATAAATGTTTATGTGTGTGTGTATATATATATATATATATATAAATAAATGTTTATGTATATATATATATATATATATATATATATATATATATATATATATATATATATTTATGTGTGTATATATATATATGTTTATGTGTGTATATATATATATACACATGTTTATGTGTGTATATATA